GTAGCGTGCTTCTAACGATAATAAACACCCAGAAGTAAGGTAACTATAATAAGAAATATACCTTTGCCACATAAGAGGACCCGAAGAACAAGTGTAATCAATTGTTTGAACTCATTAATAGGAGGACTGTGATGATGAGAGAATATTTATGTAAAAGCCACACATATTATCTTCTTCTGTTGCAGGGATTTTTTCTCGTGTGCTTTGAACAAAATTGCAAACGAACAATAAATTGAAAGATTTCCGAAGCAGCAAACAACGTACCAGCAGTTTGTCGTGCTGAGGATATGATTACAGTACTTTTGCCATCTGATCCAACAAAGTCATGGACTTGACATACCCTAAGTACCACGCACAGACCATCAAGCACCGGGATTTTGTCATCCAAGTTATCTCGACAGTTAACTGTCTGGGCTGTCCTGTCCTATTACAACTCTTGAATCTTGGGGATCACACCACCAGCACCGACTGGATGCCCTTTGACCAAATGCCCGCCCTGGAATTAGTGCATAATTTCAGCCAATAAAGAAGATCCGTTGCACCGCTAATTTTGATTTGTCCTAAACCATAATCTGAGCTTATTCCTCTCCCAGCTCCAAATAAAGTCCCGGCCTTCAGTAGCCGGCACGGAACCCCTCACCTAACTGGGGCCCGGACCCAGAAGAAGGAAGAATATGGGCGACCGGGCGGGCTATCGCACAAAACCTGGATGGAATTTATGATCACGTTCCGTGAGAATATATTTCTATTCGGAGAGAAAACATACCCAGATTCAACTTTTTTTATACTTGCTTGGAGTTTCATGAGATTCCGACGACCGAGTACGTACTTGTAGTGGCCCCGCCTGCAAGACGAAGAGATGATACCCCTCAGGGGGAACCAAAAAGGTATGGGTTGCATCGAGTTGGAGAGTTTATTATTGGACGGTTGTTATACCCCTTCAACTTATGCGCTCCGCTCCTTCCTCTGGCCCGGTTTCATTCCGCACCCGAGCGTGGGCCACGTGGCGTGCTGACTGGCCCTTTAGCTGGCAGCTAATTTGTATCGCACCCCCATTTAGTGCAGGGCCACAAACCACCGGAAACTGTGTAGTTGACTCCGTTCGAGTGGGCAGCTATCGTGGTAGCTTGACCTCCTTCGAACCCGGTTACCGATTCACCGCCCGCTTCTGACCGGTTTCGGGTAACGAATGCCTTCTGCTTCGCTTCCAAGTCTGCCCGTCTTCATGAGACTTTAACACCCGTCAGGAAATGGATGGATCAGGAACGGAGGTCCTTGTGCTTCTAACTTACTTCTTATCCCAACCAAGTTGCCGTCATTTTGAAGTGTGTCTCCGTGAACTCATATGTCCAGTTTTGTTGTCAACATTGGTTTAGAACTTGGTCAAAGGGACGACCATCAAGTGCTGCGAGACTTTTCTATATTGGCCACATCGTAATACTCTACAATCAGCGGAATTTGTAGTGGCCTTTAGTGTAATATACGTTTGTTTCAAGGAAAATATTCTCACTCCATGCAGTGTTCACCGGCGAAACTCTTCTCGTCTACGGTAATAATTAATCAATAATTAACTCATTGATTGAAAGCCATGATGATATATACTTGGTTAGATATCAAAAGTTTCAAACTTTCATTAGAAATATACTTCCGATTTTTTCTGACTGTTAAAATTACTTGCGGGTGAGTCGGTCAGTTTCCGATGATCGCGTCTTTTGCCGTCTCATAATGTAGTTTCTTTATGCTCACGGATTGAACCTGGTAGCCTGTTGGAGACCCAAGCACATATAAATGTCCCTTTCTATGCAGCCTTATGATTACCTACAGCGCTGAGATGTGCTTGATTGCCCAGTTAGAATTCGATAGAGCGGCGGGGATGGGGTCAATAACTTTAGGGCCAAGAAATTTGGGGTGGAATAAGCTGCTTTCAGGTTGATATTCTTTGTCTTTGAAGACATATTGAACGTTGAACCGGGAAAAAGAAGTTGATGTGAGAGAGACAGCACTAGGTCTAAACTCTTTTCTTTGTTGTGGTGTGTGGGTCTTTATATGCAAACTTCAGGTGATAGTAGCCAAATGGTAGCGAAAATTTGGAAAGATCCATCAAAATTGGGAAAATAATGACAAACTATCAAAAATTAATGGCTATGCACCAATAATATCGTAATGAGAAAGCTTTCATATCACGATTACAATATTTAAAGGTTTACAAAAACTTTCGCATGACCTGGAGTGATTTCCAAGTTTTTAACAATGAATGATACCTTGATGATTTTCACGATGAAGATGCATCTTCACTACTTGTATATCACTTCAAAATTTATGTTACTGGTCTACTGCCCGTAGTCTATCCGTGTCCAACCTATCTAAATGTCATATAAATGCTCCATGTTCAAAACCTTTCACTGAGGTTTAACTTGGAGATTTAGATGATAGAAATAACAGAATGATTAATAGATGAGAACATTTTTTTTGCAGAGTCGCATTTTTTGCGACTCTGCCAAAATCCTAATTTATCGTCACTACTTATACATGTGAATATTATTATGATTTCATGTATGGAATCCTAATGATTTGACACAAACTCCAGTATTTTCAGCACCCCTTGAACCCCGCGGCGAGTCCCAACACCAAAATTAGAAGTGTTTTCATTCCTTACACAACTCTTTGTTGTGTAAGGAATGGAAGTGACTATGGGGAACATTCACTCTAGTTCAATGAAAGAGTCGGAGACACTACAGGGAGTCACATCACCCTTCAGATTAGGGTACGGATTCAAAGGTGGTACTCTGAATTACTAATACTGTAGACATTCAGTGGGTCGAATCAATAAGAAATTTATTTTGCGGTTGCAAGTGTATAATCCCTCAAAATGAATGTATACAAATTTGTTTTCCAGAAAATTCAAATGGGAATTAGAAAAATACAAATGTAGAGAAAGAGAGAGAGTCATAGATATGACTTAAGCTTCTTTGATACTCTAATCATTGTTTGAACATGTTAATGATTGTCAATTACACACCCAACACATTCATTATATACAAATAACACAGTTGTTTACAGAATTCATCTCACTTTAACATAAAATGAGTGGATCTTCTAAACTGAATCTGGACTAGAACGCTAAGATCTGACTAAACTGTTTCCGTCTACCATATGCTCATCCATCCAATCTTTAATATATTGACGGGCATGAAATCGAATGTAGCAAACATTTGTTGCATAGATTTAATCAGAAAATAATAAAATCTGAGACTTTGTATGTATCATGCTTAAATTTAAGGTGATATCACTTCATAAATATATTAATAAAAGAAGATAACACGTATTCATATGCCGTGGATAATTAAGTAAAATTTATTTATTTATTTTTATGAAAAAATGAAAAAATTATGAGCAAGAAGAGAAAGCATTATCCGAACAAAATAAAACCTTGTTACATCTTGTTTTAATCAGGATAGCGAATATAAATAAGATGATATTTTTATAAATATATATGAAATATGATATGAAACTATGAACACATTATAATTTAAATGTCTTATTTTATTTGTATATTTTTTAATCCTAATTATCATTAAGATTCATTAAAAAAATTGATAAAAAATAAGATCAACAGAATAAATGAGAATTTAAAATATTCGATTTCTTTTAATAATCACGGTGATATATTAATGAGCTATTAACTAAGGAAAGGTGCAAATCTTCGGGTGAATATAAACCACACTACAGAGGAAGCTTGTGAAATACTTTGTCTTAGCCAAACTGTCATTCTTGTCCGGTTGCAAGATTTGTAGTTTTTGATAATTCATAAGTTAATGTTGTCTGCGGAGAGATTTACTTAGGACATATTTCACGTCGTCTTACTATTGGGGAATAGCCTATGTTGTAGGGTTGGTCTCATACGTATAGAACTTGAAAGTATCTTCCTATTCTTGTAGTTATTGTACTGTGTACTATCATGGGTTCTTTTGTTTCGAATTGTACGGGTTTAACGGTACAGACCGTGGGAGGAAACACGAGGACAATCATTACGGTATTCACTCAACGAAAATACAATAATCATGTGATAGAAAAAATGAATACTTTGATGTTTCTTGTACCTCGCCGTGGGGTTTCGCAACTACAGTATTGGTGAGGGTTAATCGGAGTCAGGTTCCGTTGACACTAGCCAGACGGTAACGTGGACGGGAGGAAAGGCGATTCACGGCCCCAGTCAAGAGAGGCCTTGGCCACTTCGCGAAGGAATTATAATGTCGCCGGACGGGCCCTTTCGCAGTGACACGTTTCGTCAGAGCAAGACGCTCCACTTCAGACGCTAAGCGGCGAGCCAATGGGATGGCAGTGAGGAAGGTGCCACCGAAAAGTTCTGGAAACGATGTTCTTTTGTAGACGGGCGCAATCCGCCCGCAATTGGAAGATTGAAGATCGACGGACGGATGAAGTCGCCGGGGCCGACAGGTGTGGCCGGGAAGGCTGGAGTCATCGCTTACAGAGTGAGAGCCCTCGTGGCGAGGACGAGTGGAGGCGCGCGTACCTGGTTGGGAATGAAAGTAACGACGTCGGCCTATGGGGAAATACCGAAAGTCGGAGACAAACAAAGTCCCGGGCTGTGCTGGATGCCGGTCAGACCGCCGAGCGTGAACCTGGAAATGAACCGCGCAGAGCAATAAATAATTATGGAAAGGCGCTGGCGCTGGGGGTTGGAGTCGGATAAGGTGGGGGCTCGACTGAAATCCGTTCCGCAGGCAGGCCGAGTACGGGAGAGCACCGACTGAAGTAACTGCCTCGACGGAACGTGGAAGAAAGGGCGAATGGGTGGGCCCTGTCTCATCCGGGAGCTGGTGAGAGCACCTTGAACTTCGTTCCCTTTGTCGGACTTCGTACGCAGTCGAAGTGGGCTGGGGCGACGAGGAAGAGGAAGAGGAGGAGGAGGCGAGGCGAGGCAGGGCAGGGCAGGGGTGGGCAGGGGACGGGCCGGACCGGGCAGGCACACATACGTGGTTGACAGTAGTGCCCGGAGCCCGCTGCGACGCTGCTGTTTCAGTCGGAGGCGCAGGAGAGGGAGGGAACGCGGGACGGAAGCAGCGGAGGCGAGGCGAGGCGAGGCAGAGAGCGGGGCCGAGGAGGAATTGAGCTCGCTCCGAGGCGCTGGAGGCAGCAGCTTATTAGCGAGCGAGCTAGTCTGAGTGCTATGGCGCCGCCCTCTTCGTGAGATCAAGAGATTGAGAGCAGAGTTCGAGAGACTGAGACAGTAAGCGATTTGCTCCCTTTCCTTCGATTCCCATCTCCGGAGACCAAACCACTGTCGATATCGTAACGCGTGCAGTGTGATCACCACAAGAAGAAGAAGAAGAAGAAGAGAAGAAGAAGACGGAGACGAGAGTCCTCTGCGGGCGATTTTGGTCGTGCAGATATCTTTGATCGCGCTGTTGCTGTGGATACTGTAATTGTCCCTTCTCGATGTAGAGTTGTTACGACCGTGGTTCTTCCGGGCGTGGTGTGAGAGTGAGTGAGTGAGAGCCGGCGACGAGAGTTTTTTGACTCTTCCGACTCTTCTGGCTTTGGAATTTCCTGGAAGGCTGATCAGCGTGTTTCGTATTCATCCCGCGGAGTCGTTTGTTGTGCATTTGAGTGGCGTGAATTGGGCGCTGTTGGCAAGCGAATGTTGTAGATCGTGTGGCTGTAAAAGGCGGGATCTGGTTGTGGATATCGGCTTTGAGTGCGCATTAGATTTGGAAATGTGCAATAGTTTCCGCTGTGGAGGAATTTGAATCAGGAAGAATTGGGCGCAGGATTGGGCTATCATGAATTTTGGGAATGGGACATGAGACGGGGAGGACGCAAGTGTTTTGAGCGAAGACTGGTGAAGGACCGGACATTTGCTGGATCGCAAGTTAGTACGATGCTTCAATAGCAGTTTGTGTCGGGGATGAATTTTGCTGTCAATGAAGTCAGATTGCCGAGGAAATTGAAGGTGCAAGGGTTGAGTGGCGTTCCCGGTGGGGATAGTAAAACTCTAGGGTTCTTTCGCACAGAAAGATCGAGGCACAGAGTCAAGTTTTAGACAGGGCTCTTTGAACGCTCAACGAGCAGCAGGAGGAGAACGGGTGTAAGCGGATTTTAGCGGTAGGTAGTCCAACTCTCTTGATTCCTACTTCAATCGGACTGTTAGCGGCAGATTTGCCTCGAACGTTCCCCTGTTTCTTTCAATCCAGCTGGCCATGTTTTCCACCATTGAGCTGCTCGGAGCTGCGGTACAGTAGAATTGATAGAAGAAAAGTATGAAAGAGCAATCAGCAGATGATCTCGGGATAACGAGAGCAGGGAAGACGACTGCCCAAGCGCAGAAAGATCTACGGAAAAGTGAAGATATCACGCGCAAGAGGTATGGACTGCGGTCGGTCTGTTTTTCTTATGTCTGGAAACTGTTTGTGCGAAGGCAAGGCAGCATTGTAGGATTTCACAAGTTGAGAGTAGATACTGCTGTCATAATCAGGGGGCTTGTTGCTGAATCTCTCGCTTTCAGGCAACTTTGAACAGATCGGCGCTGATTCAAAGAAACGCTGTGTCAGTCCCTCCCAGCCGAGAGTCAAGAGATGATGAGATCAAGGGCAAACAAGTGCTCGCGAGGTCGCAGCAGCAGTTTTACAAAAGAGGAATCTGCAAAGCCTGATCGAGTCGCAAAGGATGCTATGGATGCATAAGTTGATCCCTCTATCGTGAAATCTGACTTGAGATCATTGATGTTTATCCCTGTGGGAGTCCCACTGGCCTTGTGGCCGGCCCGAGGATTACAGGAGGTCTTATGATTGATCATGGCAGCGGTATCTTGAGTTCCTTGTGATCAGAGCCGCTTTTCAACCTAGCCCTCGGATGGTAGATCCTTACTTTGTAAAAGTAGCGAGTGGCAAATCAAAGGTTTATGACAATTTTTGACAATAGGCTGAGAAGCTAGTCGACACAACGAGTAGCCAATGTTGTAGATAGGAGGGAACGTATCATGGGCAAGGCGAGGTCAAGTGTAAAGTAGGTAGAAGAAGGCTCATGGCTAATGGACGCATCAAACACACTAAATGAATTAGTGGAGCGGCTACGCTCATGGATTCCACGCAGAGGTGAAGCCCCGGCTTTAACGATGTCCCGGGACTTTTGGATGCCTGACCGCAGCTGCCGCTTATGCTATGAATGTGAAGCTCCGTTCACTATATTTAATCGCCGTCATCACTGCCGCCTCTGCGGACGTGTTTTCTGTGGAAAGTGCTCTTTCAACACCCTTCCTGCCTCAGTAGATGGGCTTCAAGGTGTCCAGTCAGAGGAAGGAGATCGTGTGCGCGTTTGTAACTTTTGTTACAATAATTCTGAACAAGCTAAACAAGCTAGTACCCCAACCGGGCAGACTCCCACATTGACTCCATCATCATCAGGGCGGAGTTTGGCTAGTAGTGCTATTGGGGCAGGTGCACCAGTTGTTTCAACAATTGCACCCGAGCAAACCCTTTCTGGTGGATCCAGTAACCGACAACTTTTTCCGGATGTAGCACACGACGCATCTCCAGGAAAGAAGGACAAGATGAGAAATTACCAGAATGGTTCGAGGGCCCATGGCAGTATTTTACCTAGGGCAAGGGATCAACCACCAAGCCCTGGAAGCAACAGGTTAGTTATCTTCGAGCAACTTTATTTATTGTTTTGTAAACTCTTCTCGCTACTCTGGAAGTATCTGGTGTTCTTGGTGCCATGCTTCCGTGCCGTGCCGCAACCAAGGAAGATTCAAGACTTAGATACTTTATCAGAGTGGGCTGTGCCATTCTGTGCATAGTATTCTTCCTGGTGTCCTGAGACTGGACGGAGAACTATGCCGCCAGATGAGGAGGGTTGGAGCTTAGGCTACGCGAGGAAGCTAGCCTGTATCCGTCAACGGCACTGACGTTACCTTGCCCCACCTCACCTAGCTTTGTTTCTGAACCAAACTGGAATCCCTCAAGCTCTCGCCCTCGCCTGAAAGAGCTATGAGTTGCAATGTCTTATGTCCGAAACATCCCTTTCATCAAAGTAGTGTGGTTTTGGACAGGATGTTCTCTTCTTGGGCCCATGCTTGAAGCGTTACTTGCAATCACTGAATAATGAGTGATCTTTTCTTAGTAGTTGTCCAGTTGCTGTTAAAATATTTTTCCAACAGGGGAGGAAGTTTTTCCAAAAATATGGTCCGAATACGAGTGAGTTTTTATATGCCCATAACGAGTTGACGGCTGCATAAGAGTTCTGGCGTAGTTGTTACTCGTTGTATTCTTTCATAAGGATGAGAGTCTTTGGGTGAGGAGTTTCTCAGGTTATTCGTAGTCTGAAGCAAGAAAAGTTGTCACTACTTGTATACAGTTATCTGGTCAAGTAGAATGTGGGTTGAAAGAAGTCAAAATACTCGATGTTTGCGTTTTAATGTGGTCGTGTTCCTCTTTAGTTCTACTTTTCAAGTCAGTTGATTTCTCATGGACCTTGCATTTTTATTCATTGTTAGGAGCGATGACTTTGATGAAAAGGAAAACTATGAAGGTGATCCGAGTCACACCCGTCCTAGTTTACAAGAAGAGGACACTGAAGTCTATAGTGTTGCGGAATTGGACCATGAGATTGAGTCGAAGCCAAGGGGCACTGAGAGGAAATCCTCTTCTAGTAATCTTAGCTCCCAGAGCTCAATGGGGCATCGCAGTACAGTTTCTGAAGATGGAGTCGAAGGAGGACTCAAGAGAACGGAAAGCTCCATCTATGGGAAGGGAGATGATGATGCTGATGATGGATGGAGGGGCCTTGCGGCCGCAATGCGACCTGATGCTCCTGCTACAGCAGATGTAGATTATGTTAGCATTGATGCGGCCTGGTATCCTCCTCCTCCGAATCTTCCAGATCAACATCAACCAGATATTGATCTGGATGATGATGATGGGGAAGACGATGATGATGATGAGGACCATGAGGAGGGACGTTGGAGTAACACAAATCCGGGAACTCCCAGACTTGCAGATTTCCGAAGAGATAAAACAGCGTTTGACGAACATAGGAAAGCTATGAGAGCTCAAGTTGACGGGCACTTCAGAGCTCTTGTTTCCCAATTTTTGTATCAAGAATTTATCGATGTCGGGGAACCTGGAACTCCCGATAGTTGGTTGGAGATAGTGAGTTCTCTCTCTTGGCAGGCTGCCAGTTACGTCAAGCCAGACAAAGGTGGTGGTATGGATCCAGGAGGATATGTCAAGGTCAAGTGCATCGCATCTGGGAAGCCCAGTGACAGGTACTACTCTACTTCACATTATTTTCTTACTTCCAGCTGATTAGTTTGTATGCAGACGTCCTGTGTGAGATTTATCCTATGTATATAGCAGCATCGGTAATAAGCTCAACCGCGTACGTTAAGCGCTTCAATCTCTTGCTTTGTACAACATGAGCGTCCCCAAATCGCGGGATCATATATGTTTTAATAAAGTTCGTGGGTTACACACGCCTTGTTGTGCGTAGTGTTGTTGTGAAGGGGGTTGTCTTTCGGAAGAATGTGGCTAACAGGCGGATGTCAATCAAGTTATTTAATCCAAGAGTGTTGTTGTTAGCCGGTGCCCTAGAGTACCAACGTGTTTCAAATCAGCTGTCGTCTCTCGATACTCTCCTCCAACAGGTGCATAACAGGGCCATCGTTGGGATGAATGGACACCATGCTATTTTGTTATTGTATTCCTATGTGATGGATTGTTACCCCTGCTGCTACATTGACTGGCCGCCTTCCAGCTTCGAGATCGAGTATTCCAGGCTCAGGCACATTGCTCTCTATAAGTTATCTGGTGTGTCTGGTTTTTGTTTTGCTCTTAAAGCTTTTGTTTCCGATGTCTATGTTGGTGAAGCATTTGAAGTTTAACTATCGTGTTTCTGACCTTCTGAGTTCAATCCCTAGTGGAGCGTAGAGTGGTTAGCAGTTTTTTTCTCGAGGTTAAGCATTAATTGGTTATGCAAGATCTGTAGTTTATTCCTTTTATTGAGGTCAAGGGGTGCTGTTTTCTTTTTAAAGCTTGAACTGTTAGAAATGTTAGAATTGTTGAGCGTTAGATTGTTCCTGTTGGACATCGTATCAGTTCCCGTATCTTCCAGACATCTTGATGATATGTATTTGGTTTTGCAGGAGAAAGATCATCTGGACATGACGGTGCAGAGGATTGAGGCCCATCATCCAAATGTGCTTTTGGTCGAGAAAACCGTTTCGCGGTATGCTCAGGAGATTCTCCTGAATAAGAAGATTGCGCTGGCCTTGAATGTGAAAAAGTCTGTCCTTGAACGCATCGGAAGATGCATAGGTGCTCAGGTTGCTACTCCTCCTGACAACCTCTTGAAGGTCAAGTTGGGCTATTGTGAACATTTCCACGTGGAAAAGTACACAGAAGAGCATGGCAATGCGGGACAGCAAGGCAAGCAGAAGCATCTGATGTTTTTTGAAAACTGTCCCAAGCCGCAAGGTTGCACGGTATGTTATTTCTTGAAGAGTTGGTAATTGGTACTACTTCGGCGCTTGATGAGCGATTGAATATTTTACAGGTTCAATGTACTTCAGTTTTGTGTAGAGAAGATGTAATGTTCGTCGAGTGTATCTGGTAGATCTTAACTTTGAGTCAGATTTGACTTGAGTCATTTTTCTACGTAATTTCAGATTCTTCTGAAAGGCGCTAGCGAAGAGGAGCTGAAGAAAGTGAAGACGGTGGTGAACCTTACGGTTTTCGCAGCCTATCATCTGGCCTTAGAAACTTCTTTTCTGGCTGATGAAGGTGCAACTGTCCCTGACCTTCCAGCAAGATCTCCAATGAGCATTTCGCGCTCAAATAGTAAGCTTAATGTTGAAAAGAGTGGTGCCGCAGTCCCAGGTTTTGTAATGCCACCTCCTGTACGAACGCATCCCCCAGAAACCCAATTCCATTCCAGATCCAGTCAAGGAATGAACCTTTCAGTTTCGCCCCTTCCAGTTAGAACAAGCAGCATTGGTCCGCCGGTTCTTTACAACGCGTTCGATAACGGAAACCCCACGACACCCGTACCCGTATCTTTTTCTGCATCTTCTTCATGCGTTTCATCTGCTACCAATTCTCCAGGGACGAGCCCCAGTCAAACTACTTATGGTTTTCAGTCCGCTATGGCCAGAGGAGGAACAAGTGCCGGTTCTTCGATCTCAAATTACCATTTTGCCAATGGTGTCTATCCGGGAGGACAAACATGGCGAGGTGTATCCGGTTTGTCTATATCCTTGGAAAGAGGTTCGGCAGATGGCATGGATAATGGTTTTCCAGGATCCGAAGCGAAACGCTCTGACGTGAAAAATCCCGGTGGGAACGTAGACCTTCCTGAGTCTGATCATGCCACATCAAGAACGAAGGGAGAGAAAGGGACAATGAACGAGGCTGGTGGTAACCTCTATCACGGTGCTGGTGTACCTGACGATGGTTTTAGAAATCTGAGTGCAGATGTTCAGGATAATTGGCAGAGTGAGATGCTGAGTGCCGAAGACTTTCCTACTTCAGATCAGCAAAATAAGGCCATCCTTGTCCAGCTGTCTACCAGTTTAAAGAAACGAAGTGTCTGCTCACCACCGCATTTTGAGCGCATACAGTTCTATGGTTATGGCGATAAACCTCTTGGAAGCTTCCTCCGCGACTACCTTTTCGACTCGGTAAGCCTTTTGTTTGGAAGGATATATCCGCCATTTTGTCGTACTTCTCGCCGACTAGATGACAAAATATACATACGAAAGTTTTTGACCCGATGTTCGAGTGGAGTTCGATTCCAGTTGGAGACTTTTTTTGAGCATCGACTGTCATGATGCTAGTGAAGCCAGGTGTGAGAAGTAAACTGTTTTGTTTAAGTATGTGCAGGCTCAAAAATGTCAACATTGCGATGAACCGAGAAATAATCATGTCTACTGTTACACCCACCATCAGGGTAGTTTGACGATATCTGCCAAGAAAGCTGGAGATAACATTGTTTTGCCAGGAGAGCGCGATGGGAAAATATGGATGTGGCATCGTTGCCTTAAGTGTCCTCTCGACGATAATGTTCCACCAGCAACACCGAGAGTTGTGATGTCTGATGCAGCTTGGGGTCTCTCTTTTGGAAAATTTTTGGAGCTTAGCTTTTCAAATCATGAAGCAGCCAGCCGCGTTGCTGCTTGTGGACATTCTCTTCATCGACATTTTCTTCGCTTTTATGGGTAAGCCCTGTTCTGATTATGGTTATATCCGCTCTCGGTTTCTCTAGTGAGTATGCTCACAGTTGATTTTTAAGGCTTTCTCATTCTTACTCAGTTTTGAAGCATGAAATTAGTATCTAACCGGATTCGGAGAATACCGATTTCTGGTGATTTCTAGTCGCCGTCAAATAGATCGTTTCTAGGGTTTTTTCCATTCATTTGAAAGTAAATCGCTGATAATCATGGTTGTCCTGTCAAGTGCTGAGAAGTTTGGTGCTGAATTTTTGCAGGTTTGGAAGCATGGTGGCTTGTTTTCAATATGCGGAAATCAAACTCAATTCAGTTTATCTTCCTCCGCTTCAGTTGGAGTTTAACGGTCCACAACAAGAATTGTGGCTCAAGAGGGAAGTTGACGAGGTATTTGTTTGGAAGTTTGGAGTGGTTTTGTGTTTCAGCATTTGGATAGCTCACGTATGTATTAGATGATCATGTTAGCGGCTATAACTGCGCGTGAGTAGTAGTTCAACATGCAAAAAGTGTTAAATGCATGTTCCGTATTGGATGTCAAATGATGAACTATTTTCTATGAGCAGCATACATGTACAGGTTAGAGATTATTCTGTCGCCAGAATCTGGTATATTGTGGCTGGAATGGTTATGCATCTGGATTACCTTTCAGCATTTTCGTATGACTGACCATATACCTTATGCTGCAGGTGAGAGACAAGGCGGACGCCGAGTATTATGAGATAATGAATAAACTGAGAGAGATCGGAGAGAAGGTTGCAAGTTCAAGTTTAAGCTCAAAGAATGTCGGCGGATTACAAGAAGCTAGAAAGTTCGTTGCCTTGTATCAGGAAATGCTTGTGAAGGAAAGGACGGGGTTCAAGGTGTGTAGATCTCACGACGATGATAGATGTTCTGCCTTCTTCAGTTGTCTTCCTAGTTTTTAGCAGCAAAATCCAGACGGAAGAAGCTTGTTACTGCTAAGTCCGTGTTGCCTTGTTAGCGAATGTTGCGAGTCTAGTTTGTTGCCCTGAGTGAGCTCAGAGTCTTCGTTTCAAGCTGCTGTTGAACGCTCAGTAAGGAAATTCGTTTCATTCTGGGTCAAATACCTTTTCATGTATGAACGCGTGCAGGCATCGATAACCACTTCAGTAGTCACTTTATGATTCGTCCTAGGGACAGCTGATCGATTCTATGCGTTCGTGTGTCTGAATTATCCACCAGTAGCCCGACTTTCCCAGTGAATAATTCTAGAATACGCGGGATGCTTGCAGGAAATGTTGGAAAGAGCATGTCCCTCAACGCGGACTTCTGGGCAGCGCTATGCAGATATTCTGCAATTGAACTTCCTGAGGCGACAACTTTTGTTAAACCATAGTGTCTGGGAGGGCCGTTTCGCTGGGTTACAAGCTCATATGAATTCCAAGAAACGGTACACCGGTTCTATTGACGATGCAGGAATACCTTTAACTTTTGGTAAGAATGTTGAAGCTCAGGGAGCTGAAAGAGACTCGTCTGTCAGCGATCCTATTCCCATCACTCCAATAAAGACGAATGACGCAGGAGCTATCCCGAGATCCAATACGGGATCGAATATACTGGAGGCAGCATCCCCGGAGGATGCTTACAACGACAAGGATGATCGTGATCCAGTAAAACCTGAAGTGTTAGCTGACGCTAACGGTTTGGATTTCAGGTTAGACAAGGAACACTCGACTCTGACCAAGGCGCAACCTGGAAACTCTGATGCAAATGTGCTCGGTGATCAAGATCGAACTTTATTAGTCGGAGACTCGACGGCAGTAATGAGGGATTCTCCTGTTTCTGTTTCTGTTTCTAATGAAGGTAGCTTACTCAATGCTGATGGTAGTGAGTACAACTTTGCAACCGTTAAATCCATGAGAATGCCGGGAATCGATCTCGCCGAGCGGAGGGCACTCTCAGAAGGAAGCTATCCTCTGCTTGCTGATCTTTCAAGTAGCTTGAGCCCTTGGGCAGGGGAAGTTATTGCCGACGAGAAACAGAAATTGGAGTTGTCTAAAGACCAAGTTGATGATGGTGAGCAGACGACCGAAGTGGGAAGTGCAGAGGACTCTTATCGTGAATCCGACGTCCGTTATAGTGCCTCGTCAGGTGTTAATACACAGGAACCTGGTTCACCTAAGAATCTGGACTTGCTGACCCACCTTCCTGGGTCTACAACTCCCGAGAAAGTTGCAACGATCGATGCTCATCCAAGTGTTCCCACATCTCCAGTGCGGGCCTTGACGAAGCCTGAGGAGTCGGCAGATGAGACCACCATCAAGACCTTCAGTCGAACGTCTTCCAACATTTCCACTACTTCTGATGTTTCACGAATCCCTTCACAGGGTGCTTTACTGTTGGACGGAGATCCACGAGTGCTTTTGCCAGTAGGGCATGACGATGTGGTCGTCGCAGTCTATGATGAAGAGGCAACCAGTCTTATCGCCTACGCGATCTCCACGAAAGAGCACTATGCGCATGTAACCGACAATGTTGTTGAGAGGGAGAAGGCTAAAGAAATGGCAGAGAGGGATTTACTTGAACGTCAAGGTTCAGAACAGATGGCCCATCCTTTGCAGCCAACTGGTGGTGCTGCCGACACTGATTCCTTCAAAGCAAATGCGAGCTTCTTTGAGCAGGCAGTAGCTAAGCTGGAGGAAATCGAGAATCCATTGACATCGACCAAATCTTCTCAAATGGCGAAGAAAACAATAAATTTCGGAGAGGACACGCCTCAAGGAAAGGTGAAGTTTTCGGTAGTATGCTATTTCGCGAAGCAGTTCGACTACCTGAGGAAGAGATGCTGCAATGGAAATACCGAGTATGTTCGTTCTCTTAGCCGTTGTAAGAAATGGGGAGCTCAAGGAGGCAAAAGTAATGTTTTCTTTGCGAAAACAGCTGATGATAGGTTCGTTGTTAAACAAGTTACACGAACAGAGCTGAACTCCTTCTTGGACTTCGCACCAGCTTACTTCAAGTACATGCGCGAGGCTCTCGACACTGGAAATCCGACGTGTCTCGCCAAGATCCTGGGTGTCTACGAGGTTTGTGCCAAAAGTTGTACCTGTTATGTGGACCTTTGTGGTAATGTAGGCTGGTTAGTTGCAAATATCAATAAGACTGCAAGTTCAAATGTTATTCTCACTATCTTGCGCTCGTCGTACTTCAGGTGAAAGTGACCAGGGGTAGTAGGGAAACGAAGATGGATGTGATTGTCATGGAGAACCTTTTATTCGGGAGGAAAATTTCTCGCCTATATGATCTCAAGGGCTCCAAACGCTCGAGATACAACACGGATAAAAGTGGAACGAACCAAGTGTTACTGGATTCGAATCTCTTGGAAGCCATGCCAACTTCTCCAATTTTTGTCGGAAGCAAAGCGAAGAGACTTTTGGAGCGTGCAGTTTGGAACGACACTCATTTCCTTTCGGTAAGATTGGTTTTAACTGCAAACTGCGCTTCCTAGAGGCATGTTGCTGACTTCTCTTGTTTTTAACCTTCTGTATTTAAGTGCAAAGCGTGTCGGCTCCGAGATTCGATTCCCGGTCAGGAGATAAAGCTAAAAAGTTGCGACATGTATCGAAGTATGTTAGATTATGGAATGAGGATTTTAAATTCATTACAATTTTAGATGATTGTCTCATTCACCTCGATTGGTTTGTGAATAGCTTGTCTTTGTCATGGACTATTCATTACTGGTCGGCGTGGACGAGGAGCGCAAAGAGCTGGTTGTCGGCATAATAGATTTTATGAGGCAATATACGTGGGATAAGCATCTGGAGACTTGGGTAAAAGCATCAGGTATCCTCGGAGGGCCGAAGGATGCAGCGCCAACTGTTATTTCACCGAAACAATACAAGAAGCGGTTTCGAAAGGCTATGTCCACGTACTTTTTAATGGTTCCTGATGTATGGGTCCCCGCCCAGTCGACCATGCTTCCTTTGGGCGATGGTGACGAGAAAGGTGGTACTGCAAGGGACGACGATGGTGGAGAAGATTCTGTTACTCCGAGAGCATAACTGCAGTGATTGAGGGTTTCCACCATGTATATTCAAATTTTGCAGAGGCGAATGTTATGGGCACCGTGCCTGCCACTCACTTTCACCAAATTTATGCAAGAGATGAAAGGCGACAAATAGAACAACGTCATCTCTCTCCGGGGCATTCCCTCTCTTTATTCTCACGTAGGACTTAGTTGGCTTCTGGCAGCTATAAGTGGCCGCCCAATTTCTTTTCATATATTGTGGATAAATTGTGTATTGTGTTGATAGAGTATAAAATTCTTACTTTCTACACGTACATCAAGAGAGTTGATTCTTAGCTCCAATAGGATTTAGGGGCTAATAATATCTCTCAGGTTGAAGTGATTTGCATATCTGCATGGCCTTACCTCAACCCTCTTGATGGATATGGATTGTTACACGATGAAATTTTGGAGTAAATACTTTCCCGAATATTAGTCCCTCGGTTTTTGTGTCATGTTTGCTTTTGTGTCATCTCTACTTTCTGGTCGCTATATGTTTTAAATGCCGCCCGGAAAAGCTCACCTAGTACCTCAGGATGTAACCATGGTCCAAGATTTGGAATTTTTTCCTATGGGCATGCATTGAGTCCTTTTCATCGTTGGTATTTTCCGTCACAGAGGTGGATAAGCGACAGCCTCGTTTTGAAGACCGTCGATGAGAGGGAATCTGGAAGTCTTGTTTACCATCCGAAGCCAGCCTAATAAGGCCACGTGCGGCCAGCATCACGTGGTAAATTTCCGCTTCTGGAGAGTGAATTAATCCGGTGAGATATATGCGTTGATTCCTTAGAATTGTCATGAACGACATGCAAATTCTTTGTTTTCAGTTCTACCAAAGGCAGTTTTTAGTTTAGGTATGAAAGGCTATTGGTGATAGTATATCCATTTTCTTGCAATAAATCAACAAGACATGTTACGCCAATTTTGAGTTGCATTGTTTCGACGCCAGTTTGCGAGGTGGTGAGTTTCAGTTTTGAAACTTATAACTGAAGAGATTCTTTAGCACAGTTGCTGTACTATGTGATGAAGATTTACTTATATTCCAAGAGGACGTTTAACTTGTTTGAAGTTGGAACGTCCATAGTTAAGGATGTTGGGTGTTAAGAAGGTTGCTTTGTACTGACACGGAGTTGGCAAATGTGGCTCGTCCCTCCATCAGGTAGATCTGTCTTGTTCTTCCGATGTTGCGCGAGTATTACAGATTTGTTAGTACTCTTGAGGTTGGATTCTTCGTTTCACATATAACCATTACTGTCATCTTTAGTGTGGTTTTTCAGGTGACGGCGGAGTTTGTAAATCGTATCAGGGTCTGTACATCGTAGCCTGATGGTCCGAAGTTTTCAACCGTCGCAAAATCTCCTGAAACCTCAATCTCAGATCGTTTGCTTGAGAGGTCTGATATATTATGAGGAACGTTTGTCCTAGTTTGGGGATGCAGTAGTGGTGGAAGTCAAGTTTCAGGTGATGCTGTCGTTGTTCTATTCTGGTTAAAACCTGTGTTGTACCAGAAAGAAAGAGCGCAAGTCTTTAAGTGATTGGTGTACATTTTGAGGAACTAGTATAGAATAACCTATGTTTTTTACTTCCAAGTGCCTAAATTTTTCTTTGGATATCGCGATATATCGTTCATACAGTTAGGGAGGAAATATGACAGTGACAGTGAAGACTTTGAAGATTTCAGAGTGCGTTCATGTAGTGTTAAGTGGACGAGTTTCGAGTAAGAGTCGTGTTTGTACTTGTGGCCAAGATTAGCCACTACTATTTAATTCGTAGTAAGCCAGTAGATTTTGAGCTAGACATCAGCTTTTTGCACTTGGATGCAAATGTACTGCCATATATGTCTTCATGTAGCTTGATAATGATATTTTACGACTCTGTCGGTCGCTGTCTACGAAGTCTTGCATTACATCTCCTTTTTTGATTACCGGAATCAGCGAGGTTTATCTTTGGTGAGGTCTGTGTAGTCTTTGCTCATAATTAACGATATGCTCCTCATTTCTGGCGGAACTTCACATTATAGCGACCATTATATTCATCAATTTATATGTACCAGAATCAAGTACTGTAGTTCCCAGCTCAGTAATTCGCGTATGAGGTTAGTGTAGTGTGGTTTTACAAATTTTCATAATAATAGGAAAATGTGATCCTTGCACAGAAAACACAGAAGATGGAAATTATTTGTTCGCACTGTGAACCTAGCGATCTCCTGTGGACCTTATAGCGTTACGGATACCTCTACTTGCCAAGACACTCGTCAGCGTGGCCTTGCCAGGGGTTATTGAAAAGTACCGTTATGCCTACTCTACAAGTTATAGAAAAATGCCGGAAAGGGATGTTGAGGCAAAGAGTGATGTTCAAACGGACAAAACGCTTGACGTGAAATCTTGAATATGCTACGGATTTCGTGAAAAACACCGTCAAAACTTGTCTTTAATTATGGGAAGACCTTAAACTTTTACTAAGTTTTGTCTCCCCTTGTGTAACATGTCTGCATGCTCTTCTGTCTTATTGCCAGTATTTTCCGTCATACATTTGCGTCCAGTCAACTTTGTAATTTGCAGGTAACCTCTAACTGGAAAACAGCGCCAATGGAGAAGTCACTGCAGTTGTTAATGTTGCATGAAACTCCGGTGAGCGTCATCAGTATGACACCTACTGGATAAACGTTTCAAAGTTTGTGTGAAAAATCCTTTCTACGTTTCTATTCTTCAAATTGAGCGCCAAGCAGTGAAGCTCATATTCAAAATCTTTTATTCATGTAGGAGGCTGTAAGTGTGCCCCATTCCACTCTTCGGACATCATGAAAGTGTCGCTGGTTGTCAGATGGACAGCGCACCGACAATAGCCCAACGCCAGTAGAAGAAAGAGAGACAGCCTTGAAGATCACCCTCTCGGACAAAGACCGCCACAGAGCATCACCTGGCGATTTCTGACTACTGATACGGACCACCGCTGACAGTCGCTACGACGAAGCGGAGACGGTGCCCATGAGCAGGGCCATGGGGAACGTGACGGTTCGCGAGATGTCGGCAGGGCCCCAAGCGCGGAGGAAGGTGTCGCAAACCTCGGCGCTGAGCAGATCCACGCCATTGTCCAGAGCGGTCTGGATGGCGGAGTTGGAGCGCCAGTAATGCAAGTAATCGTCGAGGGTCCACTCTTTGGTCATGGACATGAAGTGCGGCCCCACGCCGCGAGAGTCCACGGGCTCGAAGGGGAACGGGATCGTGCGGTAGTCGGCGTCGACGAGCTCGCGCGCCGGGTCCCAATACTGCGCCGAGTCGTGCTCGTAGAGCTTGTCGCAGAGCGCGTCCACGGCCGCGGACACGCGCGGCTGCTTGTAGCACCAGACGGCCAGCACGCCGCCGGGCCGGCGCAGGACGTGGCGCACCACGCTGTAGAAGGCGGGCAGATCGAACCAATGGACGGCCTGCGCCACCGTGACCAGGTCCACGGAGCCCGCCGGGCCGACGGTGTGCTCGAGCTCCTGCGAGTCCTCCGGCACAGCCAGCATCTTCCTGTACGTGACCCTCGGGTGCGCGACGGCGTGCGCCAGCTGCCCGTCGCTGATGTCGGTGGCCACCACCGACTCGTAATGCTCCGCCAGCATCGCCGCCGCCTGCCCGTTGCCCGTCGCGCAGTCCCACGCCCGCTCGTGCCGCTGCGTAGCGTCCGCCAGCATCTGGAAGAGCGTCGCGGGATAGTTCGGCCGCGCCCTCGCGTACGCCGCCGCCTGCTTCACGAACAGCTCCGTTCGCGCCATCGCTCGCCACTCTCCTCTCACTTCACCTCAGCTCAGCTCGAAATCTCTCGCAGCAGCATGCAAATTGCCAACCTTCGAGATCTTCGTTCGCAGATCGGAAAACAAGTCGCGCACTGGAATGCGTGAAATTTCAGTCACCTCTGCCAGTCCCTCTCGATGCGCACCAAATGCATTGAAAGCGTCCGTCTTCTGTTGCCAGTCTGAGGGTGGATTGGTACAGCGACCGACTCTCACGACATCGCCAGCGATCGATCGATCGATCTGTCTATAGCGAAACGGAAACTGATGGAACGCGAAGAGAAGGAATGTCAGAGTTGGAGTGCCGAGCCCACCGTTCGCCCTCAATGCGTCGCAGCGTGCTTTCAAATATATGCAAAGCGCCCTTGACCGGCCGGTTCTCGTCTGCGGCATGCGCAGGGGCATGCGTGCGGCGCAAGGTACCGTCCGTTCTGTTCCGGCTGGAGCATGTGAGCGTGAGAAACGGAAATATTTGTCGGCCCCTTGCTCTTTCCATTCCGCTGCAAGATCGATTGTGGGAAAGAGAATGTCTCCGTAATTATACACCTTGCGTTTTGTTTATTGCACATTTTGTTGTCATTTAGTCTTGTTTCAATTTATCTTCTAAAATAATGGGAATTTTAATAAGTTCATTTTTCTCGATACTTATTCTCCAACCATTGCTACATTCAATAACAGTTAGCGCAATCAAGCAACCAGCACAAATTTGATCTGCTTTATGTCTCATTGTATTCAGTCCTTCCAAGTGTAGCTCCGACGCGAAATCCATCAGAAAAAATTACATTTATGTATATATTTCTTGTTCCTTATTTTTCATGTCCAGATAAATAATTATATATATATTTTTAATTATCTAAGCTTCAAAATTAAATGTCACTGTCTTGTCAATCCCCCCCTTAAGCCCAGGAAAGTTCTACAGATTGTGAAAACGCGGTCGAGAAAAAAATTTATCATGCGGGAAGCCCCCGCCCCGCCCCGCCCCGCCCCTTCCCAACAGAAAAATCCTGCCTCCGTCCTTACCGAAGAGAACAGAGTAGCATTTGGTTTTGGTAGAACATTTAAACCTTATGAGAGCAAGCAAATATACTGGAAATGTGCATGGTACCTAGAACAGCCTCAAATGTTATGAAGTGGAAGTTGCGATGTTGAACCTCACTGCCACTACACTACAAGGATTAGCGTAGAAATATGTCTTCGAGGATTCGTTTCAGAAATTTTAGTTATATACCATATCCACGGTACTAAAAATACACGACTTGTTGCCACTATACTTCCGTTGTATAAGGAAATTTTGAAGATATTCTAGGAAAGAAAGAATTTAATTTCTATCTAAGAAAAAAATGTACAGTTTCAAAAGAAATGGTTTTTTAAATCCTTAAAACTTATATATGTAATAAATGTATAATAATGTATTATCATAGTACATAGACATCCAGCTCGCGTGGCCTAATGGATAAGGCATCTGACTTCTAATCAGGGGATTGTGGGTTCGAGTCCCACCGTGAGTGCGTTTTGCAGGTTTTAATCGGTGGAAATGGGGCCCAGGCGCGCGTCGCACGGGATGGTACTCCGAACGTAGACGACCCACTTCGCTGTCGCTGGACCTGTGCGATCTCCTGACACCGCTTTTTCCTATTTCTTTGTTCTTTGTAGCTCATTCCGAAATTACTCTCACCCACATCTGTTCTTCCGCACTGAACTTCACTTGTTCACCGATGTGATTATGATTACTGAACTCGGATCCTGTAGTTATGACAGAAAGTAACTACCACATGGCAAAGCTTGTTCTCATCGTGAACATCGAATGATTGGAACTCCACTGTGCACTGTCGACGGGCGGTCGGGGTTCAGAGATTTCTGCTCTTGCATGTGAGATTTCTGCTCAGAGAAATCTCATGGTTCAGAGATTTCTGCTCTTGTTCCGTGAGACGTGACGTGCATGCAATCGAGCAGATACCAACATCGTAAATGAATGCACTCTACCCATATTTCACTTCAAGGCCTTCACTCAGAGAAATCAGAGAAATCTCATGCAAATCTTCGCTTTACTGCTTGACGACGAGTCTAGAGATTTTCTGAGCTGACGGGTTCGGGGATTTGAGAACGAGCACAGTGGATTGGGGTGATGGTTGCACGAATCTGTAGACGGACTCGGACTCGGATTCGTACCCGAGAGTGCTCTGAAGAATCAATCGATCGTCGTCTCGTTTGAACAAGTAGTAAGAAGGTCCGTGAGGCCATCGGAGGGAGCTGCAGGCAGGCACGTGAATACAGGGAGAGAGAGAGAGGGCAGTCCAATCTTCTTCCAACCAAAATGTTAGTATTTTTGCCACTCTCCGGATTTTTTGTTGTCACTGAAATGTGAGCGAGTACATTGCAAATCAGTCGGATATTTAAAGAGCTCACTGAAACTCCACACATCAACGACGATAACATCGACTCAAACCTTGTATAACTTAGAGATGAAATGAATATGTGTATTATTATCGTAAAACATAATTAGTCGAAGACTGAACAAGCAGACAGACTACAGTACCGAAGACCATATCTAACATCAAACAAAAACGCTATGAACCATTATTCATCAGTCAATTGACGATGGTTCAATGGTGTACTAACCATGGTGTTCAATGGTTAACGCATGAAAGGGAAGTTTAACCTTAGCAACAACATTGATAGGTCCGTCACCGAGTAATCTACCAGTAGAACAACGCAAGATCTGTTTGATCGTTACTCATATGACTTTGACAGTCTCCATATGGAAACAACCAAATAATGCAGCTTCCATTCACAACCATCAATCTTCGTTGTGACTGGAGACTGATTCTCCTATTCAGAGAAATCGTTAAAAAATCGATTCATAATATTCTGTGCTGCGGAGCTCCGGATACAGCAGAAACATGTACACTGACTAGCAATGGCAAAACGAGCTGACACTCTCAAGCAATAGTGAAGGGATTCAGACCGGGCTCGAATGCTGAGAGTGCCGGAGTCAGTTCTAGTACTTCGGGAAAACTGGGTACACGAGGCGGGGAGGCAATCCTGGTCCAAGTCCGTTGATACACATCGAACTTGTGAATGGTGCGTGGCTCAGACCACTTGAGAGTAGCACTCGAGATCGAGAACTGAGACACGTAAATACTCTCTCCATCTGTAATGAACGTCGTCCTCATCCCTCGAACGAACATGCCCGGGGGGCTCTTGCTCGGTGTCACAAGGGTCGCTGCGGTCTGGGTCTGCTTCAGCCTGTACACTCGAACTTGGAGGACCTTGCTCGGAGGCTTGTACGTATCATCGTTAGTCGCCGAGAGGATGCCCACGACATCTATCTCCACCATGGCCACCAACATGATATGAATTCCACACAGAAATACGCCGGCTTCCAGCAGCTTGCACCGCCCGCATACAGTCATCCCATCCACGACGAGGGTCTCATCTGCCTCGATCGATAGTGTTACGAGACTCGACCAGTTCTCGTCCTCCGTCTTGCACTTGATCAGCTTCACGACACTGGATTCCTTACTGAACATTACGTAGTATGTGTATCCGGAGAAGAAGACGCTGTGACGGGAGAAGAATCCATGGCGTCTGAAGTTTTTGAATGTTTTGTGCCACACCGGCGTCTTGGAGTCCCACAGATAAGCCTCCGACGTCTCCAGGCCGGGGTTGAGGATGGAGATCTTGTATCCATCGGAGCCGACGGCGTGGAATCGTACGACGGGAACATTCAGTCCATGTCCTCTCTTTGATGGCTCGAGGACGGTCGGTGTCGTCAAAAGCTTCCAGCTGCCATTCATCACATTTCCCACGAGAATCTTGAAGTCAAGCTTGTCCTTTTGCACCACACAGATCAGAGATCCTGCGAAAGCTACGAGGCGATTTTCGGTGGCCCTGCTCATGGGGAACTGAAGAGGGATGAAAGGGTGAGCGATCAGAGTCAACCACTGCCTGGATTTTGCGTCGTACCCGACAATCCGATTCTGGTGCACGAAAACTGGTGCGTACAAGGGCCATCTGTGCGAGGACGAGGTGACTGCTTCTCGGAAAGAGTCGTGCAAATATTTCGAGGGCTGGAAAGCCGTCGAGAATTTCACTGCCCATCGTCTGGACAGCAGTAGTACCTTCCAGATGTAAGGAAATGTTATACTGCAGAAAATTTTCTCCATCACTCTTTCTGGAATCATGACTCCTGACTCCAGCATCCCTTGCACCTCGTGGATCTCTTCACCATCCCAACCTTCCGGACTGTCCATCTTTGTCTGAAACTGGTCTAAACTCAGCGAACTAGTACTGACGTTGAGTGCAAACTCGTTGTCCCTTCTATGCCATGCTTGCTGGAAAGTGCTGTCTGCAAAGATTACGAGTTTGGATGAACTTTAGCAATCTCCTGAGCTTATTATATTCTTGCAAGTTCGAAACCAGAACATTGATTGAAATTGCAAGTGCTTCGTAACAAGAAATAGACAATGATATTTCTACAGCTAGCCAAGCCAAAGGAAGGAACAACAAGAACAAACCAGCATATATGAGGAAAAATCCATCATATCAGTATACGTGAACTCTAGAACCTTTTTATGCTGAAGATGGTAGTGGTGTTGCATCCAACATCGCTGGGTCTCATTAGGCTGCTAGCATGGGGCTAAAAAATGTTCATGACAAACCTTAGAACATTCACATTAGAAGCAAGCTAGCTCTCCACGCTTCTTCGAGAGTAAACTGATGGTGCCATTTCTGACATTCCTGATTCTTCTCATCTACCACGTGTTTCTTTAAACAAGTGAAATTTATAATTTCTAGACGACACGGATAATTTCTAGCCACAGTCACTGATCGAAGAAAGCGACCTTGCTCGACTACGACTGGTTTTCTTCGGCTTCTGGACACGTGGCAGTGATCGATACATTTTCTGCCGAAATCAATCTACAGAGAAAACAAACGCTTTCGACAAAACCGTTCAACTTGATTTACATGGACGGTGAGATGGGCTCACTCAGCCACCGAGTTGTACGAAATTATTCAGCAGTTTCCGAATTTATAAACAAGTGTCTGGAGAAGTGTCTACAAAAATCTTTAGAATAGAAGCATGTACATGCAACATGCTGCTATTTGACAGATAATTGTTGTTTGTGTGAATGGCTTCGAAGTTTGATTTCCAGTAATAGTTCTTTTCGCTGATCACCACTTTCTTGTTGGCTCTCTTGCAAAAACTATCAGCAACTTCCAAAAGCGTCAGTAGAGACCCACAACATGCGGTGACAAGAACTCCACGATAAACATATTTCAATGCAGGTCAAGGATATCACAGTTGTCCTTGGTCGATCCGTTACTCTTTTAAAAGTTGGTGCGGTCTCTTGAATTCCATTCATCGGTTTAAGTACTTATTCCAACTCCAAGATGGGAACCATGCGATTGGGAAACAAGCAAAGAACGGGTGAAATAATATTCTTGGCTTCTTTAATGTTGTGACTAAGAGTTTCTTGTAGGACAGATTTAAAATAAGTATAAAATGTATAGAGATAACTCTTAAGCATTCGTAACTGCTTTCAGTGAATTTTCTACGAATACTGGGTTACAATTGTCATACTCTACATTATGTCGTCATCTCTTGACAAGACGTTTTTATTGAGTTGGCATGTTTGTTAGTGTGTCTTTCATCCATTCTTCATAATCCATGGACTATAAGCGTATTCAACAGACAATTGCAAGTACGAACATCCTTTCTTACGGCAAAATCATCTCTTGACGCATTTGCAAAAGCTTTCGTAGCGCAATGATTCTACCCATCGTTTACCCATTATTACCTTCCAATCTTATTATTCATTTTCTTCCTCCTTATATTTGTTGTTTGGAGGACATAGACACGTCTGTTTACTTTACCTTATTCACATTGTGTCTTGTGAAATATATTACTGGACTTACATGATTGTGATGGTGATTATCTCACAACCATCCAGAGTAACTGAATGAAGAAGAAAATTCAATTGATGGCTACTCCTGTTTGAAAAGCTCCTGCTTGTAACCAATAACCCCCTGGACCCAACGGATAGTCAAAAGGAATATCTGAAGGAATATTTTCCGATGTAGTCTCTATAGGACATGGAAATCTATGCGCATATTGTCGTTAAATTTCCATGGTAAATTTATGACCAACGTAACGGCAGTATGTACCAAGTGCGTGCGTGCCAAAGCAAGGTTGGAACTTGAGGCGAAGATGAAATTCTGGAATGAAGATGAGGGAGGGTGGGTGCACTCTAAGCTTGTGTTTCCCAGCGTCAGGCCCTCACGCATAGTGTGCACCCGAATGAATATATGACGTGCAGGAAATTACATCGACTTTACTGCGACTTAAATAAGGCTGCTGCTCTTTTACTACAATTAGACACAAAAACGTATCAGTCTATTCATACTTTGGGCATTACTACTCATTTCGAGCTTTTTAAAAGGATGTATCACGTAGTTCCTCTTACTCACTTAAACTCAAAACTTTGTTGCACACTACCTAGGCACAAATCTTGTCCTCCAAATATCTACTTTATCATAGCATTTGGTATACTTCACTTACTATTGATCTATTGATCTATTGATCTTCAAGTATTCTTTTAATGTTCTCTCACATATCTTGACTAGAATGTACTACATGAATTCAATCTACAATAATATCTTCGGTTGACATTTAGATAATCTACTCTAGTATTGGTCGTTGGAATGTTCCCTTGATTGCAACAGTATAACTTACGTACATAGTGATGCTTTTGAAGCCTAGTCTCGTACTAGTACTATATTTCGTTCAATCCATGTACGAATTCACGGGGTCCTTTGAACTCATGATGCAATCTTACAGTTTCATATGCATGGACTTTCAAAGTCCGAAGACAAGGTGACAAACTTGAGGCCAAATTCTCGAATAGATCTTGTTAAAAAGTGCACGAGAGGGGGATATATATTTTATATACTGATACCGCACTCAGATCGGGCGCTAGACTGATTGATGGATGGGTTTATGTTAATCTGACTCCTTCATTTCGTTTTACACGTCGAAGAAGCACGGTTGCACTACATTTGCTGGCCCAGTTTGAACTGTTGCCATAAATTACCAAAGGGATCTATGAACCTGTAATCAACATACGCGTCTTAAACCTTGTACATCTCTACCCTAGCCATGCTCAGAAAATTATCCCTTTTCTCTGCAAAATCATCAGTACTCACCTAAAACCCGTCCTACACCAAATCTAAGTGAATTCATGAAAACATAAGATAGACATGTTTGCTTGATTCCTACCCCTGCCAGTTAAAAAAAATTGCAGGTGCAGGCGAACCGAGACCTCAGCAGTCCATACAGCGGAGGAGAGAACCGCCTTATACTTTGGAAATGCGTTACTTTTGATATAGCAGCATGAAGCGAAGATGTTTCCACTAGGAGACGGATGAAAGGTAACCAAATGGGCACTTCCTTGAAAGCTCCTGTCAACTCAGTAAGTATAAGCAGCTTGATCCGGATTGCACATAAGGGCTATTTATTCCCAACTGATTGTATCTGGTTCCTCTGGCCCCATAGGGCGAGAGTGGTCATTTTGAAATTATCTACTCACAGTGAGATTTTCAAGATGTATGGAAGAATCCTCAAAACATTAAATGAGTGATTACGTCTGTGAGCTAGAAGTTTATTCTCATCCTCACGAGAAGTACGCTACATTTCTCCTGCACCTCGGAAACGAGGAATATCAATGAACATGTGTTACAAAACCTCGAATCCAAACTCGTTGCTGAATTACAGAGCATCGGGGCGTGTTCTACAATTAGCATTTATTCCCAAAGATGTTGAACTCAAATTTACAAGCGTATACAAGCATCTCGCTGGAGTAAGTAGAAATGAAATTTATGTTCCAACCTGACAATGCGTCATCAGTATAGGGTTCCCAGCGACCTGATTTCCTTTGAAAGTTATAATCAGAAGAAAACTCTGGTCGCTGTCACCGAAGTTGGAAATCGTCCATATATTTTGTTCTCGAGAAGGCGGTAGCTCCAGGTCCGAGCCGTGGAGCTGAGCAGCATGATTTGAAGGAATGGGCTGCACCTCAGCCTTGCAGTCAGCAATTCAACAACATCGTACCTAATGTCTCAGCGCACCGCACCCTAGGGCTTACCTTCGAAGCGAAACACTTCTTCTAAATCCTTCCACCACCCCTTGGCGTCTGTACTTCCCGTGCTGCCTTCCACTAACGTTTCCTGGCATTGATCAGTCACCTGCCACCACCGCCTCGTCTCTTCGTCGGCCAATCCCAACTTCGAATCGATCTCCCAGTTGGTCCCCACGTATTTGAAGTTGGCAATCAGGAGGGAGTGCTCCGGATCGTAGTGTATGGAGTAGTCCACAATTCGTTGTTTTTCCAGGGTGGCAAGGACGCCAGGCCAAACATTCCTGTGAAGGCGTTTGTATTCTTCCAAGGCGGAAGGCTTGATTTTGATAATCTGGCAGATGCGACGAGGCTCTCTTGGCGTGTCGATTGTAGCGTCTGCCATGTCTCGATCCGTGTACTCTCCGATGGCTTTAGGCAAACGAATCCAGAGGACTATGAAACTCAGCTGCAGAGCAATTGCCACGCACCAGCCTCGCGAATGCTTGTTGTATGACTGATGATCGAGATGAACTTGTGGAGACCAACTCTCTCGACCCAATGGGGATATCAAGATGTAGAATATACAATTTCTCAAAAATGTCACAAATTCCTCAGGTTTGACGTGGCGCATGGGCGTGCGATTCTTGTTGCTGTAGTCAACGACTGCAGATCTGACCAGTTGAAAGCTATGAAATTGTCAAAACTGGACCTACAGGATTAACAGGACTCTGGCCCTTAATTTAGTGGACGAAAGACTGTTCACTTCTTCCATGGAGCACTTTTGAGCTACTGTGACAAATCTTCTTGCACTGCGGTCGACTTTGGCTAGACTATATGAATCTCGCTCAAGCCATGGTTTTTACTACTCCAGTCATCCTTCCATATCTTCAGAGAAAATCCACAGTTTGATTACAACGGTTGTAATTGTTATGCGCATAGAGGGGTTTGAACAATCTAACGCGGTAGATGTAGGAAGCTGGGTTATGTGAGTTGAATGGCTTCAACAATCAACTACAAATCACGGTAACCATGCATGGTTTTAACAAGCTTTGCGTAGACAGCTCAACAGCTTATTAGTACGTAGGGAATTTCACTCAGGTCCCATGAGGCTTTCGTACTTACCTCAGGACTTGAATGATCACATCCCTTATGCAGTCTTCTCTTTCAGAAACAGTGCGGAGGACGTTTGTAGTAAGTCCTTTTGTGTTCTGATAGACTGGAATGTTTTGGAAGAACACCACGTGGTGGAAAGGGCAATTATGCTTTACCATCAGTCCATCCAGCTAATCTTTCTCGACCACACTTTGCTTTGTGGGACTCTTGGGTAGAAGGTTGTGATCTTCTTGTTTAATTGCATTGTAGAGCTTTTGTACCATTGGCATTTACAATCCTTGTTATGTATCATGTTGTGTTTCATTATGGGCTACTGGCAGAGTTTTATAGAAAGTTTTGTCTCTGTAGCTGACACGCTACAGTTGTAATGACGATTCTTCCCAGGTTTTGAAGCGCTTCTGGCAAGGTCGGTAATGGTTTCACGAAGTATGTATATCACTTCGAAAAGGCAGATATTTCTCTGATGTTAAAAAACATTTTCGCTCGTTTTATGCTTTGATTTTAGTCTCCTTTCAGAGCATAAAGGAACGCCTGCCCAAAGAATACTGTAATAACCGTGAGACATGTGCGGCTTCACATGTTTAACAAACATTCGACTAGCGGAACAGTATATTCTTCAATCTCATGTACTTCTTGAAACTGTAAAACCATTAGGATTTTGAGCCGTTCGAACCCATACACCAACTGTGTTATAATACGCATTCATGCGAATCACTCAACGGACGAGTATAAACTATCAAGCAAACGATTTGTATACAATGGGAATGGTAGTAGATGGAAGAATTCTGAACTGAATTATAAATTAGGTCCAAATCATTCCGGAGGGAATGCGGATAATTTGAAGTATGGTACCTTTATCATCTGAACACAAATGTTCACCGGTAAACTAAGCTAGAATTTGGAAATATGGTGGAAAGCACTCTTGAGCAGTCGTTCTTGAAGGGTCAATCTATAAAAGTGTAGACCTGCCCTGGAACGATATTCGATGACTTCAATAATGTACACAGACCGCATCCTCTGCACGCTGGTACACAAATACCATGGTAAAGGCGAGTGGTGTACAGGTTGTCATGTATCCGAAAACTCCACTCGTCTCACCTAGTAATCAAAATCCACCAGTACCTTCTAGGAAAGAACCCTGCTGTCAGGGGTGAGTATGATTCTACCTTCAAATCTACAACTCATCATGTCCCTCTTCCTCATCTTCACCTCCAGCAGAAGAAGGACCTCCAGACTTCTGATACACCTCAGTGATGATTGGGTTGCACACGGCCTCTACTTCCTTCAATTTCTCCTCAAATTCATCCTTCTCGGCATTTTGATTATCATCCAACCATTCTAATGCCTCCTTCAGAGCTGCTTCAATCTTCTCCTTGTCGCTCTCCTCAATTTTGTCGGCCAACTTGTCCTTGTCGTTAACGGTATTCTTCATGTTGTAGACGTAGGTCTCGAGACTGTTACGAGCATCAATTCTTTCCTTAACTTTCTTGTCCTCCTCGGCAAACTCCTCGGCCTCCCTCAACATACGGTCGATTTCTTCTTGGCTCAACCTGCCCTTGTCATTAGTAATGGTGATCTTCTCCGACTTTCCAGTGCCCTTGTCCTCGGCCTTCACGTTAAGAATACCGTTGGCATCAATCTCAAAGGTAACCTCGATTTGAGGTACTCCTCTGCGAAATACAAAAGATACATAAGTTAGATACCTACGAAGCTGATTTGTAGTACTCTTTTCTTAATCACGGAACGGAACTTCAAAGCTTGAGAACTTGGTGTATACGCGAGAACTGAAAATGTAGTAATTACCTTGGGGCAGGGGGGATTCCGGTTAAATCAAACTTTCCTAGCTCGTGGCAGTCCTTGGTCAGACTACGCTCTCCCTCGAAGACCTGTAGTGTTCGAGATTGCAGTTTATTACATGATGGGTGAGAGGTGTACACGCTTCGCAACAAGGTCTGATCTGGGTATCCGTTTGAATCCATGACTGTCTAATATTGCTAGCAACATACTACTACTGTCTAGAACATATACCAATTTTGACATACATGAGAATATCAATCAGATAAATCAAATTATTCGCTGGCAAGAGACTTTTGGATATTGGCCATCCCTACATACTGTCCACATCCTAAAGTTGAATAATTACCTGAATAGAAACTGTGGTCTGCTGATCCTGGTAGGTGGTGAAAACTTGCGACTTCTTGGTTGGAATCACAGTGTTTCTCGGAATAAGTTTGGTCATGACTCCCCCAACGGTCTCAATTCCCAAAGTCAAAGGTGCCACGTCCAACAGAAGGATGTCTGCACAGATTCCACATTTCAACACTCAGACTCACTAATTCGAATACTCAAGCACATGACAACATTACACTGTATAAAATCGCAGCACCCTCGAAGATATGAAAAGCACAATTTCTAACCTTTGGTCTCATCTCCTCCTTCTCCGCTCAAGATACCACCCTGGACAGCCGCACCGAAAGCAACGGCCTCATCGGGGTTCACACCCTTGCTAGGCTCCTTGCCGTCAAAGAATTCTTTCAAGAGTTGCTGAACCTTGGGGATACGGGTACTTCCTCCGACAAGGACAATTTCCTGAATCTGAGACTTTTGGAGACCGGCATCATCCATGGCTTTCTTCACTGGTCCCATAGTCTTCCTGAACAAATCATTGTTCAATTCCTCAAATCGCGCACGAGTAAGAGGCTCAGAGAAATCAACGCCGTCAAACAGAGATTCAATTTCCACGCGGACTTGGTGCTGGTTACTGAGTGCCCTCTTCGCCCTCTCAGCTTCCCTTCGGAGCTTTCCGAGAGCACGGTTGTCCTTGCCAATATCCTTGTTGTACTTCTTCTTGATCAGTTTGATGAAGTATTCCATAATACGTTGGTCAAAGTCCTCACCTGGGTTGAACAAGCAAGTAACACAACTTATCACAACACTGATCTCAACGTCTCCAGAGGCCATGCATCGTCGATTCTCGATCTTCTCTAGATACCAAATAGTGAGCAAGACTTCAAACCCATGTTCTCTACGTTAACTACGGTCCACGGGCTGTTCTATTTCGTTCAGCTTTTAGGCAACAAAATGTGGCCCAGCTGAGTCATGGGCAATCAGACAGCAAATCGGGAAAAAACCTGCACTCTGTCTAAACACATCTCTGTGAAATTCAATCGAAATTTCACCAGAATACAACAGTACATTCTCCTATATAAATTTTCAAGCGCAATTTGGTAGACAGAGGTGAATTTGGCAAGCTGAGTACAGTAAAATCTCCTGTACGCGTCTTGGAGTCAAAACTTGTCAATGTCACAGAAATCACAGATGCAAGTTGAAGCAAGACTCAAGGCACCAAACATACCTCCAAGATGGGTATCACCATTGGTAGCCAAAACCTCGAAGACTCCATCGTCAATGGTCAAAATACTGACATCGAATGTACCACCTCCCAAGTCAAAGACAAGGATATTTTGTTCTCCTCCCTTCTTGTCCAGTCCGTAGGCAATAGCCGCGGCAGTAGGTTCATTGATGATACGGGCTACGTTCAGTCCGGCAATAACTCCGGCATCCTTGGTTGCTTGACGTTGGGCATCGTTGAAGTAGGCTGTGAAGACGAAACAGGGTTAAGATATAACGGTCTGGACGAGAAATCGGAGCCCCGTGAAGTGGAGTGCTTACATACTTCGCAAAGAAATGCAAGAACCTATTTCATGAACACCAACAGACATCTGATGAGATCATTGCCGATCCAAAACGCACATACCTGGAACGGTGACGACGGCATCCTTGACTTTCTTGCCCAGGAATGCTTCGGCGGTTTCTTTCATCTTCGTCAAAATCATAGCACTGACCTCCTCGGGACTGAAGACCTTGGTTTCACCATCCTTAATGGCAACAGAAATGTACGGCTTCCCATCCTTGTTCACTATCTTGTACGGAACCAACTTCATGTCCCTCTGTACTTCCTTGTCAGTAAACCTGCATCCGGCGGAAGTAGCTATTAGAAACTATGTGTTATAAATCTTACATAATTTCTTGAAGCACGGGACACGCCGAATCATGAACAAAATACTTCAGTCTTGCAAAAAAAATTTGGCACAGCATGAGATGTCAAAGAACAGAGAATTTGCATGCAAAAGAAAGCATGAGAGAGTTCCATTTATGATGATATTAGGGTTTAAACTTACTTCCGTCCGATGAGCCTCTTCACATCGAAGATGGTTCTCTCGGCGTTCGCTGCGGCTTGATTCTTAGCCGCCTCACCGATCAACCTCTCACTGTCTGTAAATGCCACCCAGGATGGCGTGATACGGTTACCTTGGTCATTGGCAATAATCTCCACATGACCATTTTTGTAAACACCGACACAAGAGTAGGTGGTACCCAGATCTATTCCAATAACTGTTCCCAATTTCGCTGCCTCTTCAGCAGCAATGTGAGATACAGTGAATAATCCTGCAGAAGTCAAGACCAGAAAAATATATAAATGGACTGAATCTGAAACAAGGTTCAACAAGGCACCAAGCTTTGAATGACAAAACTCACCCCTCTACAGAGAGAAACAAAAACATGCAATGCAATCAAGAAATAGGCACGAAAATCGTGAGAGCCCGCAAAGAATCGCCTCGCAGATCAACGCCACTTCGGCCTACTCTGAAACCTCTGCACGATCACCCAATCCGCGAAAACAAACATGCAGATCCCTCGGACTTCCCAATGCAGACAATGTCCCAGAAAAAATCCATGCAGCCCCGCGCTCGTCGACACTCACCAAGTGCGAGAAGCAACACGACCACGACAGACCGCTTCATGGTGGCCGCCTTCAAGACAGCACTCAAATATTTTCCCCTTCCTCTCGACAATAAACCACCCGCAGATCTGCTGCGCTCCTCCTGCTCCCCGCTACGAGAGACGGTCGTCCGTTCTCCTCCTCCTCCTTCTCTAAGCCTTTGCCACAAGAATGTCAATGCTCGGGCCTTCGGAGCCTTTACATATATCGTTCTGCGGTAGACTCGACCGAACCTGACCACGGGTGGGGGCTTTACTCGGTCAGACCTAACGAGTGAGTGAGTGAGTGAGTAAGTAAGAGAGCGACCGAGAGATGCTGACGACGAGGATCCGACCCTGTCCTGGGAGTCCCTCTGCTGCTGCCGCTGCTGCTCGTCTGACGCAGTGCGAATCTGTTTATGAATGCCCAGATGGCGCTGGCGCTGCTCGTTGAGATGGGCGCTTCTCGTCGTATTATTATTCTAGACTCGTCTGGCGACAACCTCCTCTCACAGTGCGGGAATGTTGGCGGCCTCGTCACCCACATCGGTTCCGCGAACCACGACTCGCTGCCACCGTAGCCCCGTCCAACCGGGGTAAAGTCTGGTAACCTCTAACACGTGTCGGCTGCTAGGAGAGGCGGGGTTCGAACCAAGGGTTGTGAATGTGGGGGGCTGTCTTCCGTTGCGGTTGCCTGGTGGGTGGCCTGACCCGTGGGTTGGCTGTGGGTTAGTTAACTGGGCCCGGCGAGGTTTGGGTTTGACGCGGTTGGGAGAGATGGAAGATTGACCTCACGGAGTCAAAGCGTAGACAGTTAGACACCGCGACATGACCAATGACTTCATATTGAGCGTACCGAAGGCGTCTCAGCCAATGAGGGGCAGGATGGTGAGGATCCGACCAATCAGAGCGCGTAGAGCTTGTTGTGATGTACCTCACCGTTGGATTTTCGATCCGACGGATGGCATGGTAGTGAACACGTTCGTGGCAAACTGGCAGCACCCGGTCAAAGAGGAGTCTGGGACCGGGACGAGAAGTCTCTGGAAAGCGAACCCATCGACCGTTAACAGTTGCGGCACGCTGTTCCCACGACAGGCGGTAGCAGGTTCCGGATACTTCTCGGGACAGCCACTTTGGCCGGCCCGGTGACCGCGAGAGCCAAACTCGCGAATCTACGACCCATCGATTTCGAGGCCTCGACGGGAAGACTGGACGGCTGAATTCCCGACAGCATCCTTTCCTGCTTAAGAAGCCGGCAGGAGAGAAAAGCTCTCCCACTGCCCTCGCCGCTAAACCAGGCTTCTCAAGGGGAGCGTAACCAGGACCGGTTTCCGCCAACCCACCGATTCTCAAAACCCTGGTTTTCGGAACCGGTTTCTCAAAACCGGCCTGGTTTTAGTTCAGAACGTGCTTGTCGCCTAATTATCTTCCCCTCGACACTCTTCTCGTGAGAAATAAGGCCGCGAGAAAAATAAAAAGCGAGGAGGCAAGACTCTTCTCACCTGTGAGTGCTTCAGGCATTCTTTTCAAGGTGACCACCCTCAAAAGAAATTCACCGCGGACTTTTCAGTTTCTCTTAGCTTTGGAAATTGAAATCAGGAGGAAATGTGAAATATCTCAACAGAGTGTATATTTTTGTTAAGAAAAGTGATTATTTGCAACAATTAACTAGGATGTATACTACATGAAACATTACGATGAATCCCTTGGTGTAGCCATAGTTTGTTACTTTTTTTCGTTACAGTCCGGTGTTCATTATTACACTCAGCAATCTTATCATACTCTAAAGACCGTCCATTCACATGAATAACACTAAAATCAAACAATTTTAGTTGATCACTAATTTTTCCTTTTTATAACGACTATTCTACTGCTAAATGGAAAGAGTAACTGACTTAAACCTCAACCATTTCTTACCAGCCCATTCATTCTCATGAAGCCCTATTATTCTTTGGCCTGTACTCAGACTTCAGGTGTTTTTGGGATCTTGTGTGATCATTCTTATTTTCAACAAGCACAAAGTTCGTCACCTGAACTATTGCTGCATCTAATTAACTGGAAACTATTGTTCCCGGAATCTCAATACTTCTCGGGGCTGATTCTTTAGCGAGATCGGGAATCAACAGTCCGTCCAACCCAACCCGGAACTCGTGCAAAAACCACGACGAAGTGTGGGAGTTGGGGATTTTAGTATTGTTGCATGAACAAGACACGACTCGATTCCTTGGGTTCCGATCTGATCTACACAATAAACGAAGGAGAGCAAGTTGGCATCTGCCGGCCTCGTGACTCTTTCAGGTCACGTGGTCGTGAGCTTTGTGTCGCATAAGACGGAGGGGGACGTGAATCCCTTGCCGTTCAATTAATGTATCATGTGCTTTGTGGGCTACCCACTCTGCGCTTCCGGTGCCAGATCAGCCGGGCCATCTCATTGGCTGCTCGATGCCCCCTTTCTGATGTGTCCGCACGCCATTCCTCGCTGCGAGGTTTTGGCTGCCCGAGCTGCACTTTGCCTTACGTTAAGGCAGAGGCTATGACAAGTTGACATGTCACGATCCTGACGTGGAGTGTTATGATTGGCTCCTCTGATGAGAAGCTCGTTACTTCTTCACAAACAAGAAGTTACCGGCACGGTGAGTGGTTTCATTCGATTCGGAGGGACGAACCGAAAATGTCGGGGACTGGTCACAGTTCGCTACCGAAATTACGCTTAACTCCGATAATGGATGTGCCTTATTCAACATGTTCAGAATTGTCGTATTGTTCGCCCTTCGCATCACGAGCTCGACTGTGACGTGGTTCACCTCGGGTGCCGCTTACCGACAAAGTATGACTTTGTCGGTAAGCAGCACCCGAGGTGAACTCCGTAAGATGTGCCATGTCGTGGACCGTAGTTGCGTTTGAGTTGACCGTACACGGTCAAGGCAAAGTTTTAATCTTACAGTGCTGCCACGAACATTCTTGAAACATGTCTTTATGCAACCACGTATGTGAATAGGAAGGCGAAGAGGATGGTACGTTTGAAATATATTATAGTTATATGTACCCTCACTTTGAATGTATTATTAGTTATACTGGAGATAAAAACCAATATTGAAGAAATAAATGTAATCCTGAACATTTTCATGTGTGACATATATTGACATGTTATTGATTCAAAATTATAACAAAAAACCTAAAAATCCACAAGCAACATCTCTGAAATTTTGGAACAAAATTTGCAAAAGATTAAGTATTGACTGAGAATTTACACTCCAAATAGAATTTTTCCAATATAAAATGAAATTAATTTTTCATCACAAAAAATAATATTTTCCAACAATGTTGGTTTCTATTCAAATTAAACGATAGAGAATGAATATTGGTAATGATAGATCTTTGAATTTTAAGGAAGAGTAAAACTCTCAAGTGAATTCAGTTCCACAACTTCAAGCCCCATAGATAATCTTATTCAAGGTTTGAATATCAATGTTTTGGAATTTGTGTAAATACCTTTGGAAGACTAGGGGATGTTCAACAAACTGCCATTACACAGTATCCAGTATCGTGCTCTCTCGTGACAGGAATGTGTTGAACAAATTGCAAATTATTCTAACGATGCAATATATATATATATATATATATATATATATATATGTTAGATAATTAATCAACTGGATATGATACAAATGTATCCCATTCACAAGAATTTTGGAATTTGACAAAACACGAAAGACTTTCCAATACAGTGATAAATAAGTTGTAGAGAAATATTATCTTTTAACAAGATTTATATAAAAAGATATTAATGTATCTCAATAGACCATCAACAATAAGCTTTTCCAACACTATCAACTTAAAATATGATCCCAATCTAGAGAATAAAACTAGCTTAGATCTATTTGCAATGATGTAGATTTTGTTGGTTTGTTTTCAGTTTAAAAGAATCATCCCTATCAAATTTGGGTATTGATAATTGCATTTATGATGCATATCTTCATCAGGAAATTAACAACATAGAGTTGGAAGAGTCATAAATGAGGATCATAGTTTGAAAATGAATTATATTCATTTTCTCATAGGCATTTACCCTTTGAATGAGTAAAATGAAAAAATCTGTATCCATTTATTAGGTTTTATATTCCACAAGAGTGCGAGGATAAACTACTACAACTTCAAGTTTATATGCACTTATTGGCGTACAACAGAGGTTATATCAAACTGCATATTGATTCCACTTATTTTCAGGCTTATCAAATCATTAAGAAAGCTTGCATCTCCTCTTGTCTGTCGGAATGTTATCGAGAACGCATTTCCCAAAAAAAAATATGATTTCAGTTGTCTTCCTTTTCCTTTGAACTGTGCTAACGAAGGGCACCCTTCAGCCACAGCGTGGGATCACGGTTCTTCGAGTTAGGACTGGAAAACACCAGCAACAAGGTCAGTACTTACCTCACTGTATAATCACAAATGTCAAATGTAATTGGGAGGTCACAGCTCTAAAAGCCACAAAATGAAACTCACAGCATTATTTTAATGTTCGTGTATCATAAAGCCATGGAGCCCAAGCCAAAACCCAGAGTTAAAGGCCATAAAAAGTGACCAGGTGAGAGTAGTTCAAGAACAAAAATTGTTAAAAAAATGATTTTAATAAAATAAAAGAAATTCTGAACCAATAGGTAGTGGATGAGACCAAAGGATCAGGTCTATTATGGAAAGCCAAAGGCTTTCCATAATGGTCTAAAGTCACATGGGGCCGATGATAGGAAGATAAATGTATCTAGAGCTGGAGAAATTCACCAGAGCTGTGAATACAGTTTCCGGACTCCTCCTTGGCGGATTTGCGACGCATTGGATTGGAAATGAACTGCATTGTGCGTGTTCACGGTAGAAGGGGGCAGTCTATCTAAACAGAGATTAAATGGCTACGGCAGAAAGTGCCTCAACCGCCGGACCTGCCGACCGATGTCGGAGCACAGCCGAACGCTTGCTGCAGAGGGAAATATCCATCGACGGCGATCGGACAAAGTGGAATCCCAAACAACTGATCGATGAGGCTCTCGAAAACCACGTAGCAGAAAACCACGAAGTAGGAAACCACAAAGAATATTCAGAAAGTGGTTTTCGAAAACAAGGCCCGTGCTGCCGGCGGACCGTCCTGGAGGCAGGTACAGGAGACGCGCGACTGAAGCCGATGACCGTTAGAACCGGAAGGGCGGAGGGGTTCCAAGTTCCGACGAGGCGAGTCGAGCCGACCCCGCGAATAAGCAGGAAATGCGTTTTTGAACAGGAGGAGGGGGTGGAGGAGGAGGTGGGCGATTTCCGTGCCTTTAATAGTTACGGATCTTGGGAGCGGATCGCAGATCTGAAGACCTTGAAGAAGGCGAGGCCCTTGTAGAGTCAGACGATCGAAAAGTGCACACATTCGACGCGTAGAACGAGGGCGTGCAGGTGGAGATGCAGGAGTGTTGGTGAGAAGGGGTGTCAGCCGCCGAGACGACGAGGACGAGGAGGCCGCGAGGGGTGTTCGAGAGAGTTGCCCGTCTTCGCTGATCGGTTGGGAAATTGTCGTTCGGACTGATCTGGTCTCTCAGCCATGGCGCGGTGTTCGGTCGGCGCAGCTTTGCTGCTGCTGCTTGTTTTCGCCTCGCTCCACGTTCAGAGTATGTGGCATGCCTCTCGGTTGTGTCCCTCTGCCTGCCCTATGGACGAATCAGGTTTAGAAAGTTTATTGCGTAGATTTTTGACTCGTCGATTGTCTGGGAAAGGCATTTCGTGAGCCATTGGGAAATGACCACCTTGGAAGCTTTGTCGTCTGTATTTCGGGACCTTTGGTACTTTGAAAACCATCAGGTTGTTTCGGTAATTCCAAACTTGAACCACGAAAGTGTTCAATTGATCGAGCGCGCTCGCCTTCTCCAAATGTGCCTCCTCCATTTTAACGGGGTGTAGCCTTCATTGCCGGTGTAAACCACGTTGATATGCCTAGAGGAGCATTGTGCATTGGAGCGAGTCAACTCGTGATGTCGTATTGGTCGTCGGTGTGCTGATTTGCGATGATAAGTTTCGCGAAGGCTTGCGATCACCAGAAGTGCATATCATCGTAGGTAAACGAAATTTCTGACATGTATGCCGTCAAATGTGTCTGGCAGGTCCTCATGCCCAAGTTCGAGCGGAAGAAAGCGAAGTGAAGGAAAGCACTTCAGACTTCGCTAAGGTTGAAGAAACTCTCGGAGGAGCGATTCCCGATGCTCTGTCCACAGATTCCGAGGTCGTGAAGAGGTGGGTGATTGATTAAACTTCGGGTTACTCACCTTGATTCCCAGCCTGAGCTATTTCATTTTTTTGACGAGTACTACAATGTATATAAAGGAATGCCATGACTAGGAATCCGTGCACTTGTGTAGGGCTCCATGTTTACAGTATCGAATTGTCACCCTCGATTGTGAAGAAATTGGATCGTAACCGTGTCCTTTTTGTTTTTCCGGGAATTAGGGAAAGTGAATCAATGTCCCAGAAAACCCTGAGGGCCAATTCTCAGAAGTTTGAGTTCCAAGCTGAGGTGTCTCGGTTGATGGACATTATCATCAACTCTTTGTACAGCAACAAAGACATCTACTTGCGTGAACTCATCTCCAATGCGTCAGATGTAAGTTTTCGGGTCCAGAATTTATCGAGAAGCAGGATTTATTAAATTCGCTTACACCTTTCCTGTTTCACTAGACATACCGTTTCTGTTTAGTAGTACATTCCTCCATATACTTGGCGCTTCAGGTAATTACACCAGATCCTATTTGTCTAACCAATAATTGTTATAACGTGTTCCAAATTGTTCCCGCAGGCACTGGACAAGATCCGATTTCTCTCGCTGACCGACAAGACTCTGCTTGGAGAAGGCGAGGAATCTCAGTTGGAAATCAGGGTGAGTGCAACGACGAAAAGTTTCCATTTTTATTTCTGAAAGTTTGATTATCTTGATCGAGGATGTTCAAGATGTTCCTTAGTTGATGTAACAAGAGATACAGCTACAGTTTTGAGTTGAATCATCAGCTGCATTCGTCGGTATCTGTATCATCTGGATACAATGTGGAACTGGCGCGTCGTACTTGATTGGATCAAACTCAACGTTATGTATGAATTTCCATCTTCCTGTACAGATCAAGGTGGACAAGGAGAACAAGATTTTGTCCATCAGGGACAGAGGTATCGGTATGACCAAAGAGGATCTAATCAAGAACTTGGGTACCATCGCGAAGTCGGGTACCTCATGTAAGTATACCTCTCTTCTCTACTGTGGCGTTCGTATTGCGTGTTTTTATAAAAGGTCAGGATCAAATTTTATAGACTCCATTGAACGGATCGACTTGTTGTGTTTCACGCCATGCAGCCTTTTTGGAGCAAATGCAAAAGGGCGGGGATCTCAACCTCATCGGACAGTTTGGAGTTGGTTTTTACTCCGTCTACCTGGTTGCGGACTACGTCGAGGTTATCAGCAAGCACAACGATGACAAGCAGTAAGTCATAGCTTCAAGCTACCCCTTTGATCTTGGATTAATTACTACATTTGATGCCCTCCAACGAACCAAACCTAAAGTAGTGGTGGATTTACATCAGCACACCGCGTGACATTCAGCTCATGGCTTTCATCTGCTGGATAGATCATAAGGAGTAGTAGTGGCGTACAAAATGTTCTGAATCAGAGCAACATCGTTTTTTGCCTGAGCTACTTGTTCAGGTCTGATTCATGCCAATACTTTTTCAACTGCCTATTGCACTCTTTTTCTGAATGGTCTGTCTTCTTTATGTTATGCAGGTACATCTGGGAGTCGAAAGCAGACGGAGCATTTGCTGTTTCAGAGGACACAGAGAATGAGCCTCTGGGTCGTGGAACAGAGATCAGATTGCACCTGAAAGAAGAAGCCGGGGAATATCTGGAAGAAGATAAACTCAAAGTAAGTTTAAACCAGCTCAATTTCTGGGATCGTAAGTGAAAAATTATCATTCAACAGATCAGTCCACGTTTCGTCTATGTGCTTTATTTTCGTTTCGTACTAGACCCAGACATTGTACAACCTAACGTGTAAATCTTACGCTGCGAGCAGGAACTGGTGCAAAAATATTCTGAATTCATCAACTTCCCCATTTACATGTGGGCAAGCAAGGAGGTCGACAAGGAGGTGCCAGATGATTCCGAAACCGAGGAGGTTGACGAAGAGAAGCCAAGTAAGTTCTTCCACCTGTACTAACGACACTTATCCATTTCACGAATCAGGGCTCGTTACATAAGTGTATGTTCCTTGCATTCGGATTGTTTGGGTACTAATGTCTGACTAAACAGGTGAAGAGTCAGCAGAGGAGACAGAAGAGGTTGACGAAGACGGTGAGACAAGTAAGTATTTTTGTACTCTGTAGAATCCATGTGGAGCAAAATTGTCGTCGTAAGAGTCATCTGAGCCTTTTATAATCGCGCAGTTCAATGGTTCATCAATACATCCATCTGTCTTCTAGCCACCAAAGTTGCGCTTCCTCAGGTGGGCAGGTTTTAATTAGTAAGAAATAAGCTATGTGAAGGCAAATTCTAATTTTGCTGCATCTTACCGTACCTGTTGATTTCTCAGAGGAGCCGAAAACCAAGGTAGTCAAGGAGACCGTCTACGATTGGGAAAATTTGAACAAAGTGAAAGCAGTCTGGCTTCGTGACCCGAAGGATGTGACCGCCGAGGAGTATGCGAAGTTCTATCAATCTATGGCGAAGGTAGTTGTCAAACTATTGTGTTCATATTAGTAACGGTGTTTTCTGACGAGAATTTTACTGTCCCAGACTTTCCCTATTGTTTTCATTTCATCTCATCAAACAGTCAAGCAGAAGTGGCAGTTAGGTCTCTTGCCAGGATAGTGATCTGGCATACTCAGCCAAAATGCGTACAGAGTTTCAGGAATTGCCTCTCTGACGAGAATACCCGTATCGGAGCAGGACTTTACCAACGAGAAGCCAATCTCTTACACCCATTTTAATGCTGAGGGTGATGTGGAGTTTAAGGCGATCCTGTTCGTACCACCGAAGGCCCCGTACGATCTTTTTGAGAACTACTATTCCAACAAGGCGACGCTTAAGCTCTTTGTTCGCCGTGTTTTCATTTCCGATGAGTTTGACGAGCTTCTTCCGAAGTACTTGAGCTTCCTTAAGGTTCGCTTGCTGTCTGTTCATGCCGTAACCCATTTTGGTGTGTCGTCAAATTGCGTCGCTGAAATTTAGACACCGCATTTTCGAATCAGGAGACATGCTTGAACTACCTACATTGGCTACAAGTACTGACTTGTCTTTGCTTGTTGGCAGGGTATCGTCGATTCGGACACACTTCCTCTCAATGTATCCAGGGAAATGCTCCAACAGAACAACAGCTTGAAGACCATAAAGAAGAAGCTTGTTCGGAAGGCTCTCGATATGATTCGTCACATTGCCACCGAGGACCCCAATGAAACTGCTGACACAGAAAACGCTGAAGGTATTCCCACGAAAACCACGACTTAGAGAGCATCATGATGGACTCGGTCAAATTCACTTTCAGTCTTTTGTTCAATGTACTTGCCCGATCGGCTGATTATGATGATCATCGCACAGCTTCAGATGACGAGGATGAAATCAAGAACGATAAGAAGGGACAGTATGCCAAGTTTTGGAAGGAGTTTGGAAAGGCCATCAAGTTGGGTATTATTGAAGATGCAACCAACAGAGTCCGTCTTGCGAAGCTTCTGCGATTTGAGAGGTAGGGTTGAGAATCTAGAGGAAGCCCCTTCTATCTCATGTTTCATGTCAAATTTGGGAGAGGATGCTTGATAATACCTGTGTGTGTGTGTGTTGTTTACGTTCTGCTGCTTGTTCTGCTCAAACTGATGGTCGTGAGTCTCTCCTGCAGCTCAAAATCTGGTGAAGGTCTGACTTCACTGGAGAAATACGTCTCGCGTATGAAAGATGGACAGAAGAACATCTACTACATCACTGGCCAGAGCAAGGAACAATTGGAGAAGTCTCCTTTCTTGGAGAAACTTTTGAAGAAAGGATACGAGGTTCGCCCTTTCACTAAAAACCGGAGTCTTTTAAATTTTCTTTTGGTCCAAAATCAGATAGAGTTTTATCAAACAGTAAATCCACGATACTACGTGGGGGAACAAGAAGCTGGGAAGAAGAGTTGGGAACTATCTTGAGTTGAGTCTATCTTCGAGATGTGTTGAATTCATCATATGCTTTTTGTTGATCATAATGTCGCTTAGAGTCCCATAGTGTTTCTTGGAGATAATTCTTGTGCTTTGACCTCCATCGGTCTCGTCTGTCCAGCTCCCATTCGATTTCTGATTCTAGTTTTGGGTTGTCTTTCAGGTTATCTATTTCACTGACCCAATCGATGAGTACTTGATGCAAAACCTGACGGAGTTTGAAGATAAGAAATTCCAAAATGCATCCAAAGATGATTTGAAGATTGGAAGCAAGGATGAGAAAGCCAAATTGAAGGAGACCAAGGAGGAGTTCAAGGACTTGACGAAGTGGTGGAAGAACCTTCTCGGAGCCGATAAGATTGAAGCTGTGAAGGTCAGCAACAGGCTTGCAGACACTCCCGGAGTCGTGGTTACTTCCAAATATGGTTGGAGTGCAAACATGGAACGGATTATGCAAGCTCAGACATTATCTGACCCAAGCAAGCAAGCATACATGCGAGGCAAACGTACATTGGAAATCAATCCTCGACACCCAATCATCAAGGAGTTGCGGGAGAAGGTTGCCCAAAATGCCGAGGTAGGAGTCTTTCTGGAGGGTGATTTTGATCAATTAATTGCTATCACTGCTATTACGTAGACTCTGCCGGAAGTGTCTGAAAGGATGACCATCTGTATTTTTGTGGTGTAACAGGATGAGGCAGCGAAGCAGTCAGCTAAACTTGTTTACGAGACCGCTCTTTTGGAGAGTGGCTTCATGCTAGAAGACCCCAAGGAGTTCGCCGCACGAATTTATGCCGTTATCAAGGAGAACCTGAACGTCAGCCCTGATGCAGAGGTAGAAGCGGAACCAGAAGTAGAGGAAGACTTGTCGAAGGAGAAAGATGCTGATGAAGAGGTATGTATGAGATGTCTTGTCCTCGTGCTTAATGAATGTCGGTTCTCTTGGTTTCGTGGAACATCAGAGCGTAGTGTCTGTTCGAAGAGTTCGTAGTGCCTTGTAAGCGTATCGACCCCCACACGTTGCAACTCCGGTTCAGTTTTAGAATCTGACTCCACTTAATGCAACCGCAGGTGGACAGCGGCCATGACGATATTGAAGTTCCTGAACCCGAGGACCTCAACCTCGAGCAGTATATGGAAGAAGAGGAAGCAGACGATGACCACAATGACCGCCACAAGGATGAGCTGTAGAAGACGTAGAGTGACACGTGATTTTTCCTGGCCTGTGATAAAAGCTTCAATGCTGGTCACCAACTAATTTTGAAAGGGATAAAAGGCAATAGATGCTTTAGATTTAAATTTGAGATCGATGGGCGTGAACAAGGATCGTTTGTGATGTCAGACAACTCCCGGTGCGCTCGACTATCAAAGCTCGGAGGAGTATATGTAGCGTGTGTAAGGTTTACATGCTACGTGCTGCAAATCCAGACGGTCTGTATTCAAAAGGTGGGCTGAGGGGATCAGGGTCGAACTCCAGTCCAGGATGCTCCTTTTCGATATATTGTAAGATTACATTATCCCCATAGAGGAAGATTCTAGATATAAAATTTGAGTTCAACGACTGTTGCGAGTGACATCAGTCAAAGCCTGACTTTCGGTCACGCTCGAATGCTCCGTGCGTTTTCTGCTGTAAGCGGCCCAGTGAGAATTTTGTGCTTCCTAAGGGTTGGGGGTACATTTTAGATAGCTTCGTTCGACTGATCTTTCCTAACTCGCACCTACACAGTGGTTTACAACCCTTCTACTGCGTACACTTAAAACCTCGATCTTCTCAGAATCCTGACTCCAGATCGAGTATACCTCGCTTGTCTCGCTTGTCCAAGCATGACCGTGGCACCAAGTCAGGCCCATCAATCGCACCCGAAGCATACGAAACCACAATGTGCAGAATATACCTCGACAGATTCGTAGAGCTCATTGTAACAGCGAAGATGAAACACGAACAGTGAAATTTTCCGCCGAAGGCCTTGACCGACAGACTACGGCTCTTTGCCACTATATGCTGTCATAATCATTCCGTGTCATTGCTTATCTGCAAAGCTGCTATTAAACAGAAATCTTGCCTTTAGGAAGCTAATTATCTACCAATGTAAAGTTGGATAAGGATAGATAATTAGCTTCCTAAGTCTCAAACAGATTTATAAGCTATCTTTAAACGTGTCATGATGATGGGAAGACACAAAAATCTACCTCAAGAAAGTAGAATGTTAAACGACTAGCATCTTAAATCTTCAGTTCTTCCTTTTATTACGCTTCGAAGTCTCCAAACGTACACTATAAGTTCCAACAAACAGTGGCGAGATGTGATAAGTTTCCACCCTGTCCATTCCACATCTCGTTCTTCGCACGAAGAAATCGATGACACCCTCTAACCAGAGCCCAACATTGGGTGCCCATGCCCAAACCCACCCATGCGCATGGGATTTGGGTGATTTTATTTTTCATGGATGGTGATTATTTCCTGGTGGGTTTGGATGGGCATAGCTTCCAAATGCGTACGGAACCCATGCCCATCAAGCCTGCTCGAGACCAGGACACGTCAGTCACTGAAGGCTCGTTAAATATCAAACGCAGAGGTAAAGAACGAATGACAATTAGATAATAGACGAAGCGAATACTTTTGTGCATTCCAACCAGTATCCAACACCAAATCGGTGTCAAACTTCTCGGATGCAATGAATATACTAACCAAGAATCTCTCCGGGCTGAAGCCATTATCAGTGAACGTTGTTTTGTTTGTCAAATCCAACCAAGACTCCGTGTAGGCGGGTGATACACATTACACACTTTTTGAATAAATGGACGTAATATGAATGTCATGGGTGGGCACAGGTCGCTGCTGATGGTGATGGTCTGGTCTGGGTACAAATTTGAAGTAAAATGTTGGCCTCTGTCTCTAAGCTAAGCTGGTTCCAAAGTTCGATACATAACATGTGGTAGAACTGTCCCATCTATTTAGTAAAAGGCCAAACACGACAAGAGGAGTATGTTAAGTCTCTTATATGTCAAGCGGGGCGAGTCGCAACACCCGTTCGAGAACTTTATGGTACTTCAAAAGATACATCGACATTCCCACTATGAGTCTCGTCGTTGTCAATGTCAGACTTCTGCGCGAGCTTTCTAGTTTACCTTCACAGAGGACCCTATGCACACAAAGCGGTCTTTAGAAACCTTTTCTGTATAACTATTCGACCTGGAGGTAAGGAAGTGGGCTTCTTGTAAATCGTGTGACAGTCCAACAGGAAGGAAAAATCATACACTACTGAAGGGAAACTAAGTGTAAGATGTCCTCTGTAAGAATGTTTTCAGAATATCACACTGTCTAGAGAGACACAAGTACTCACCTCAGTCACCAAGATAATCAACAGCAGTTGGGATTTAGAGCAAACGACTTTGAAACTGAGGTCACATTCTATGGATCACGTGTGTGATTCTGAAAAGAATAAAAGGTTCCAGTGTCTCGTGAATTCAAATTTACAATGAGGATGCTATACAAAAAACAATGCACGGAATTTACACAGCACTCAACCGCACAAGAAGTGTGCAGGTACTCGTGCCGACAACCAATATGCAAACAAAAGAGCTGAGAGTCGAGAGGAATCCCCCGTCCTGGTGAGAATAGCAACCCGTGAGCGGCAGTCGGTGGACAACCTCTTGCTGTTCATGACGACGACAGAAGCACGTCCTTCCAGCATCCACAAGAGCCACCTCGTACTCAAAAGGTTCGTTGCAGCAATTTGAATCCAACCAGGTCATTCGGCACAAAAGTGGTAGTGGTCACGAACCACAATTGAGCGGAATGCCTGATGTCTAGATCACCCACACCCAGCTTACTAACGAGCCTAGAGTCAAGCCCACTGCTAGAGATATGACCATAATGGTGCCCGCTCTCTCTACTTCGCTAGACGCGACAATTTTAGGAGCAATGATGAATCCGGTAGAGGTGAAATAGCCATTGGTGGCCCCTAGCAAAGCCGTCAACAGAAAGACAGGACCTTCGGTGCGGAATATTTTCGGTCCGTGCAGACAAGCTGCAAATAAAGGGAAGAACAGAAGCCTGCACAGAGAGCCGGACACTGTGACACTCTGTGTTGTGGGAGTGTAGATTAAGGTGCCTGACTTTCCCACCAGGTCGAACACATTGAAGGTTGCAATCAGCAAAATTGGGTACCAATCTTTGAAGAACGCCGAGTGCACGTCTTCAGCCAGGAAGCCGGGGAATATGGACAAGGTGATGACGTAAATCAGGACGAAGGAGAGTGAAACCCATTTCAAAGGCACAAAGGCCTGGAGCAAGCTTTTGGAACTGGGCACTGACGGCCCACGCGACGATGCAATCGACGAGTAATGCTCGTTTCCAGCATTCGTGGCCTTGCAGAGCAAAGTACTGCTGTCGTTCTCCAAATCCCGCCTGGCCGCAAGTACCTCAGCCTCGACATTGCCACTAAACGCAGAGTCCTTCATGTCCTGGTAGTGAATCATGACATCAAGCTTATGAACCTGGTTGTAAGCTAAGATGATAACCACGAGAAAGGCCGAGCCTACCAGGAAGTAAAAATTGGCACTCGTGCGCAGACCCTGCACATTCTGCGGCAATGCTGCTTTCGTCGCCATGCGGAAAAGCGAAACCAAGACTCCACACGCTGCAGTTCCCGACACGATGGCCTGCATAAAGCGATCAGGGAGTTCCCCTGCTATCCCAATGACAGTCGTTTGCACCAGAGCGTCGCCGACTCCGGCAAAAGCCACTGCCACCACGGTCACGGCATGCGCGAAGGAATTGTCCCCGCCTCCATCTCCACCAATGAACAAGGCATCGACGATGGGCACCACAAGAATGGAGAAGAGGAGCATTACCAGCCCTACATTGATTCGGCCCCGAGAAGACATCTGCTGTCCGTAAGCGAGGATCAAGATCATAGCAGTGAGTCCCGGAAGAAGATACGCGACGGTGAACACGCGATCGATGTGCGAATTCGGGTAGAGATACTCGAAGTAATCCACGGCGGTGAGGAAGGCATTCCATGGGAGTAAGTAGGCCACTCCCAGGCCGAAGTAGGTCAGAAGAGCGAGGTGCGCGACGTCGGTCGGAGGCCCCCGAAGATGGGAAGAAGGAGCCTCCGCAACCGAGCTCCGAATCCAGCCCATGGCGAACCCTCGACCGCCCCTCCCCGCCCCGCCCTGCCCTACCCTCTCCGCTCAGAGATTCGACTCGGCCAGCCCGTGCCAGAGAGGCTTCACCGACGAATTTCGATCAACTTCGCACCTGCTCCGGAGCAGCCTCGAACGAGCGCATTATCGTCGCCTCGTGCAATTCTTGACATCCGCCTTCGAGCACAGCACCGCACCGTAACACGGCCTCCTCGTCCTCGTCCTTCCCCCCGTTCGATTGTGATCTTCCACCTCGCGATCGACAGGCAATGCAGCAAGGCGGGAAGGGGACGACGATGTCTTCCTTCGCCCTTCTCCTCTGGCCACGGCACCTGACAGCGTCCTCGAGGGCTCCTCGACAAGCAACGGCACCAAGTCGCTGCCCCTTCCTTGCACGTCCTGTCGAAGTCCTCGAGCCGGTCTCGAGCCCCCCCCCCCTCCTCGGCTGTCTGCCCTTCGCGGCCCCCTCGTTGCCCGGCTCCGATCTAGGGGTAACACACTCTTTACGACACATTTGTAGCGCCTGTTTCAATTATTGCCCTTCCCTGTTTCAATTATTGCCTTCCCGGATCTTTGGCCCCTTGCATTGCGTGCTGATCCCAAAGAGTTTTCGGTGACCTCTGGAAGCGGAGGTACTCTATAGAGGAAGGTAACTTTTACATTTTATTTTATAATCTTGATGGTGGTGATTTTTTATCTTCAACTCTCTTAACCAAATTTTAACTCATTGATAATATATTTTCAGTTTCTTTAAATGCATCTTGGGTTGAAATTTTTATTATTTCTTCATTAATATTATAAAGTAGTTTATTAATTATTAATATTAATAATTGTTTTAAAAAAATTAGCGAAATATAAAAAATAAATTATTTCATTAAATTGAAAATTATTTTAATCATTGAATTAATACAAAAGTTATAAATTAACGTTATATATTTATAGACAATTTAAAGAAAGCTAATTATCTTTCGTTCTAACCTAATGAGCACTATTTTTACTCTGCGACGCGAAGATTATATCACATGATTTTATTAAATAATATAATAGTACATGTAATAATATAACTTTTGTAATATATTATTCATAGAACTCTGTTCTATATAATAAGGTGAATGATAATTAATCCAAATTGAAAGATAATTAACCATTCCTTTTTATTTATTATGTTTAATTATTTTTATTATGTTTAATTTTGTAATATTATTTGATATAAAATAAATATATTTAATTTCATATATCTATAGTTCATTGCTTGAGTTCAAGTGATCATATGATAGATTTTTATCATTTCGATAATGATATTTTGAAAAAAATATAATTAATACATAAATCCATAATTTCTGCCGTCTAACATAGTTTTGATTGCAAAAAATGTTTAGTTAGAGAATGAAATCTACTTTCAAAATGGAAAAATATTCAAGAAATTCATTAAATAGCATCATTTCCAAAGAGGATGCAATTTTAACCCATGAGAAGTGAACCACTTTTAAGTTTTATTATTTTTTAATAAGATTTAACAAATAAGATATTTAGTATAAAAGATAGAATAGAATGTTCGTGAAAGATAATCTACATTCATTGTCCACACTACAAAATAAATGAAAACAAAGGTAAGGATAATGCAACTCAATGCCGACTTTAACAAAAAATACACTACTTGTTGAAAGAAAGGAGAAAATGTACTTTAAAGTTCACATCATCGTAGAACAATTTGCACTTTTCAATGTCATGTACTTTATTCTGTGCATCTTTAACATGCTTAGAATGATCCACTAGCTCATGAAATCTTCAATAATCGCGCTTTTTAGCCATACATTTGAGCTGCTCAACTTGAATTTACCACTGTCACACCCAGCGTCAAGCTCAGTGAACGTTGTGGACTGAATTCTTCGATAATAGCCAATTCAGTTTGCTGATGTTGCTCAAATGGAAGCTTCATAGCCGTGAATGACAGTGGTGGCCCTTTACAGACTTTTATCTCATTCGCATTCACATCTGGTTTAGAACCTCAGACTCAAAATCGTCGCTTGTACTACATCGTCAAGCTATGACGCCCTCATAGAATATACCAACAATATATCTGATTGTCTGAGTGGAAATAAAAACTTCTCCACTGGACTCGTCGACAGGCAAGCATAAAAAACATGAGCTTGCTTCGAAATGAAAGATGTCTTGGAAAGTCCATCCTACAAATAGAAATATCTTCACCATCGTCCTCAGCAGGGTTGAGGAGTTTCTCTATGACAGTTTTCATCTACTTGGATTCATGAACTCAGCAGCTACCGTTGTGGAGTTCCATCACTTCGATGCATTTAGTTACCCAGTACTTCCATAACAAACTTGATCATTTCGGTGCACACACTTTCGGATCTTAGTGCTGGAATGCATTTTCAATGTACAAAGGAGACTCGCACGAAGTGCAATCAAACCATGTGCGGTGTGTTTGACTGATCAGTATGTGTATTGCGTGATTCATGAAGAATTGTGTCAGGTATGAACTATAATCATAATCTATCTGTATGAGATCTTGTATCTGGACGAAACGTCCGTGATCAGCTCCCTCATGACGATCCCAACGATGATTTCTCGGGCAAAGATGATCCGTTCCACCCTTCAGTCAAGGAAGTTTATCTGGTTTCTCTTCATCTTTTACGTGGAATCTATGGATAACATTGAAGTAGATTTCCAGATGGGACGACTAATAATGATTTACAATTCCAGAACGATTGTTCATAGAAGGACGAGAGCTAAGCCCTGGTGGTTCTTCAGGACAAACCATTAGTTGCTTTGAATTTCAGCCGTCAAAGGGATGAACTAGCTAGCCGCTACATCATAGCACTTGCTACAAACATTAAACACTGAACAGCGGGATCCGAGACTCTTCTAAACTGAGAAAGAATTCGTGCACAAATCATACCTAGACAGTTTCAGCCCGAAGCATATTGAAATGGCGCACTCACTACTCGGACGGACAATTATATAACCTCGAGAGACCTTGCGTGTTCTAAAGAAAAGCATTCAGTGATAAACCGTCTGACCGGTACCTTCCATACTTCATATCTTGCCATTCAAATGAGCTCAGATCGGGAACACGTTCCTCTTCTGGAGGTACTCGTCAATGAAAACAACTCTGATACAGTTCTGATCTTATCAGAATTGTTCTGTGAACTCAAAGATAGAATCTGATACCAGATGTGATGAGTACAATTATGCATGTGCTGGGTTCGAAGACTTTCTTGGTGGTACACAGTGTTCTGTTGAAGGTGCCCTACTCGCCAGGGCAGATCTTGATACTTCCGTTCTACTTGCATCAACAGCATGCCGAATTCCCACAATCAGCACATAGCTGGAGCATCTTCTGCAAAGATACCGCCGCAGGATGTTGACTCACATGCCCAAAATGGAGATAGCAATTACACCCTCTGCAACGAGGGAATTCTTCATTGGCTCAAATGTCAGAGAAAAAACAAAAGTTTGTCCCTTAGTTTCATATCATTTTTCCAGAAGATTTCATTCGGGTTTTCATTGCTTACGGACAGACTATTTTCTCTGAAAAATCTGCCCTCCCCTGTTTTCGATCCACGTTCCTGCTCAAGGCCCTTAGTAGATAATTCAGCAGAGTTTTCGGTGTGAACGAAGGGCCATAGAGATGAACTTCGTATGATAACAATGTTTAGGGTCAATACAATGTCGAGAGAACTGTGCTGTGCCACTATGTGGTTCTTGCATGAGAGCAAAAACGCACTTTTCTTCAACTTGACATTCCTCTGGTTCTTGTCAGCGAAACGAAACTGTTTGCAGACCCTAAACCCATTCATCTTCCCCTCTAGTGTTGGGAAATATTCTATTACCTTCTCCCAATTTCTTTCTCGTTGAAATCCGCTGATAGATGCATAGCAATCAACCTGATTCTTCTCTTCAGAAGTTCTCAATTGTTTTGCAGCCTCTTACTTGCAAAATTTTAGTGGGCCGCCTTCTCTCCAATTCTAGCACAACGAAATTTCTCCACATCGATGAAGTCGCTCATCACATCTTCGTCGGGCTGCACTCACTAGATTCTACGCCATCTCTGAGCTCATCACTTCACAATTTTGTCCATCTGGATTTGTGCTTCTGTATCCACCTTCATCTGACCATCTATTTGGACTGCTACAAACCGAAGAGACTTATGTAGGCGATAGAAAGCTTAATTCTAGCATTCAGTATTTCTGACTCAAAATCCTTTCTATGATATTATTTGACGAACTTCAAGTTAACATTTCTCCCTTCCTATCCCTGGATTGGAGACGTTCTCCGTGTGGTAACCAGCCATGAAAACTATGACGCGTCTCAGGAGAGAAGGCATCATGTCAGTAAGACATAGCTGCTGCACTCTCAGAACTGCAACGACGACCATTTCAGAACTCCTGGGTAGCGAATCCAGCCAGTTGCTCGACGAGGATCGAGACGGAAAGCAGCAGAAGTGTGGTCGTTGGCCTTCTGATGGTTGACCTGACTGCATCCTTTATGTACATCTCGTTGCTCGGGCGGGCACGGGTGCTGAAACAACACGGGTCGGAAGGGCGGAGAGAGGGAAAGAAGATCGCACTTCACCGCCCAGAAAGTTTCCACATCAATGAATGAAAGGTCGGCCATTCGTCATTGTCGGGGTTCAAGCCTCCACGACACTTGCGGGTCCAAAATCTATGTACCCCAGGGGCAGCTGCAAGCCTGCAATAAATGCGCCTGTTTCTGATACAATATTATTCAACATGGACATACACCTGTATCCCATGAGGACATATATACACCTATCGCCGATAGGTGTATATATGTAATCGAGACCGATAGCCTATCGGTCTCGATTTACACAATCTCTAGTTCCGTTTCTCCCTCAGTATAGTTTATGGGGCTTCCAAGAGGAAGTTGCCGATCGCATCCTTGTCTTCATCCTCTTTGTATGTCGAAAGGCGTCAGTCGTGAGCCGATCATCTTCATCTACGGCAGACTAAGGCTGGTAGATGAGGCAGACATGATCTACTAGGATCAGTCTGACTCTCAGCTTGTGCTCGTGACAAATTGAAGGGTGCAAAAGCATGATGTGTTTTATCTACAATGGAAGAGGTCAAGGATTCTCTTCATGTACATTTGCAGGTCGATCTAAATTTCACCTTGAGTCAGTGGGCAGCATCATATCTGGTCGGTGGGAAGACTACTTGAACAGCGTGTTTTGCGGGTAGTAGTAGGCAAATCAGGCCCCTACCTGACGACGTGATTGATTCATGTACCTTGCATTCTTCCGCATATTACTGTGTTTGTGCTGGTTTTAGCTACCGCACCATCAGCTGTCGCACAGCTGGACTCTTGTGCAAGAGACGTAAACTGAATATAAGCTTCTATTAACTTTACTCGTTGCTGGAATGGTGCGAAACTACACAGTTCTTCCGAATCAGTCATCGGAGAGTTGCATAATGGTATAATGGAGAGTTTCCTGAAAGTGACATTCAAGTCAATTGCCTCCTTTGTTTTTTCTTGGGCTTTAGACCAGTGTTGGGCTTATCAAGTTCACGGTCTCTGAGAAATCCAATAAGTAAGAGGAGAGCCCAGAAAACGAAGCCTCCTCCTCCCCAACCGCCGCCTCCTCCTCCGCCGCCACCTCCGCCACCTCCATCTCTTGGTGGTAACCCAGTTCCTCCATCGTCTAGCTTGGGGCTCTTCTCCTTCGCTGCTAGGCACATATCTGAAAGTCAAGACCTGACAGTCCCAATAACATGGCAAAGAACATCCCCACGCCAGTATAATGACAGTGATGGATGGCTTTGAATAGGTCGCATTCTACTTTCACAAACAAAGGTTCAGGGCGCAAAGAAAGAACGGCTCTCGGGATGAATAGAGCCACAAGTAAGGACTCAAAACTCGGGAGGGAATGTGTCAGTAGCCTGAAGAGTGAACGAAGATTGTCTACCCACGTGCTACAAGCAAGCGCTTTCACCTATTAGTGCCGGGATATGATGATGGAAAATTGACATTAGCTCTATGCAAGACACCCCGCTAGAAATTAAATAGCAAAAGTCCACAGTTTAAAGTTGCATGCAAAATGCAACTGGTTTACTTGTTAGGCTAGTCACTGAGTTTAAGTCTCAACACTCTCAAGAGGAAGAACAGCACAAATCTGGTTTCTCGCCTGGTCGTGACATTATTCTTAAATATATTCAGTCCTGGAATAGCAACCAATGGTGTACTGACAAGATCATGCTTTCGAAAGCAGGAAACTGCTTTCAGAAGTTAACTTACACTGAAGAGGAGCTTTGTTTGTTAGAATGGTCTCATTCTTGATAGTTTGAGTCTGGCCCTGACCCTCAGTTGAACACTTTACCTCCTGCAAAGAACACATTAGATTGTCGCTACATGTCTCAAAAACACACTATTTACAAATGTCGTATAACGATAGTTGGATTCAACCCGAATTCGAAACAAACTTTGCACCTCTACACATCAACGCACAATTGGGGGAGTTTAATTACGAAATCCAGGGTTGAAAAGCATATATACCTTTGTGTAACAATTGATAGCAAATTTTCGAAACTCGTCGGCTACACAAATTTGAGGCCCAAGATCTAGGATGTGACCCCTATGGACTGCTTTTCAGCCAAAGTATAGAAACAAGGATAAAAATAGGTCACCAACTCAGACAGAGAATGTTCAATCAATATTAAGAGACTCCAAAATACAGGTCATGATGACGGAGGAAAAACTCGACAATCAGGAGTAGACCGAAACTCTCAAACCTCATTAAAGTTCCTTCATGTCAACATTTTTGCACAGAGAAGCATTTATCGAAATCAAGCTCGAGATACTTACGTCTAAGGAGGTCAGGATGTCCTAGCTTATGCTGGAGAGATAATTGAGTCTTTTTCTCAGCTCCACGGATTCTGTAATTACAAATTCACAACATACGAATCATCGTTAACGTCACAAGACTTGATTCAAAATGTACTTATTTCTGACAAAAATTAACAAATGAGAGCGATTGAATTCACACCGTTTCAATAGATGAAAGCCATACCTCAAGCTGGTAACGCGTTCCTCCCTCTCGACAACGGAGAATTCATTCTGAAGTTTCGAAATTTGACCAATACTGACACGTCAATAATACCGAGGAGACACACAATTCTCTTCCTCGCATTGGATTAGCAATTCAATCTCCAAATCTGACCACAGGTGATCACTCTGCTACACGTTGCACCTGCCTCGACAACGTAATGAAAATCCAAAATCCGAGAGAGTAAAAGTTACCAAAGGGAAATCACTCACATTCCACTTGCACAATCCTCTGGCAGTACGACCGCGCAAATCGTTTCTCGACAAATTCGGAAGATTCACATTCATCTTTACGTCGGGGTCAGTCCAATTCGTCGATTCAGATGAGCTTCACACGAGACTTCTTCAAAGAATGATACCCTAATCGCTCAAGCGCAAAAGTACAAGCCAAGGTTTGTACTCACTGACACTGGCCAGCCATGGCGACCATGTTTTCTCTCTTGAAACGTCGTCTGTTACGTCGAGATGTATGGAGCATGCGAGTTTTCCAAGGCAGCACTGGTCCGGGTGGGAGTTGTGTGGGTATCTAGTGACTGACATAAAACCTCTGGACTCAGCTTCCAACATTTCACCTCCTTCACCTCTTTGGCGCGATCACAATTATAATCGTTTCAAGATCTCTTGCCTCATGGGATGCTGCTGAATCGCTCCACTCTTCTTGCTGCCATGTTGTACTTTGGATACACAAAACATCTCACACACTCACTCGATTCCAAGGAGCAGATGCAGGGCACTGTTGTGGAGGAAGATAATGACTTCCATGATTGGAAAGGTACCTCAGCGGGACTGTGATTTTAGCTTGCTAAAGAACCGGCACCTGTAAGTGCAGAAGCCATGTGGTAAATTGAACCAAAAGAGCGAACGAACTGATTCGCTAAATAGGACGGAGTAATAAAATTAGGAGATCCAGCAAACTACAAAACAGTGTAAGAAGTTAAGGTCATGACTCTGGAGTATTTTCAGTGTAGAGAATAAAATAACTGTGAGGATGAACTTTAGTTACGAAAGTATGGTATTAGTCACACAGGTATAGGTGAAACTTATTTGTAGGTTTCTACGGTTTACAGCTAAGATGCAGCATATCCTAGCGTATGAATTACTTTCTCTGGATACGTATGTGAGTAGTTTTTCTTTACGTACTAGCTTAAGGCAGATATAGGAATAGCAGAAGCATCTTATCTGTACAGTATTACCAGGCTTATAGTAGGTCAGAGGTTTGTTCATGGTATCCCTCCAGAAGATGATTGAAGCTTTACATAGAGTTCATCCGGAGTAGCTTCAGTGTCGAGTTTTAGATCTGACCGAAAACCCTCTATCCAAGAAGCCCGATGTCTATAAGCTACTTCAGTGGCAATCATGCTCAGCTGCCAGACAGTCTTAAGATTTGGTATTAAAGTGTTCTGATGGATTTTCTTGTTGTGCCTTCACACCTTCTGATGGCTCTTCAATAATATTTCTCAATAGCTGGTCAGTAGAGGAAAAGTCATTTAGATTGTGCAAAAGCTGATGTAATTGTGAGATAATGTAATCATCACATAAGAATGTGTACCAACTACGAAAACTCCTACACGAATCTAGCGACAAGCTGACAGTAATCATTTACCACATGAAGAAGTGATGTGAATACTGATGAAGGCAAACACAAACTAGATCAGATACAGTAGAGAGTAGGTTAGGTAATGCATCCAGGTACAGTAGCTGCGGGGAAAATGTACCTGGGTGTTGTTTTGGATGCATCATCTGTCTCTACATCTTTTGCAGTCATCTGTACAGACAGATGACTGCAAAAGAGAGCATGTCAGTCATCAAGGTACAAATGAATGGAGAGCACAGGAGCCCGGGAAAAGATACGTGCAGATACATGACTTTGAGCACAAAGATCTACCCCACAGCACTGACCACTAAGAAAAATGCAAGTGGATATGGAGGAGAGATCATCACTAATTATGAGAAGTTGCAGGAGTTGAATTGTTCAGGAGACGAAGGCAGGGAGGGGCATAATAGTCCATGAATCACGCGAAGAAGAATTCTGAAAAACACGTAGAGAACATGTGGATAGTCCGAGCTTGACCGACTTAAGACCACTTGAATCTACTGGTATCGGTGAGAATAAGGAAAAGCTACGGACATGACTTCAGCAATCTTCAGAATCTCCGAAAAGTTGGTTAAATCGTGAATCATCCTCCTCGCAGTAAGCACCTTGTGACACTGGAGTCAGACTTGGACTGGGACCAGGACATTCAGATAGGCTTGGCGGATTGTGTGGCCCTAGTTTACTACGTGTCTGAAGGAAAGGCAAGAGTGTCAGTTTAGAACTAGAGGAGAATCATGGCTAGCAGGGAAGCAAGCAAGCTAAGACCTCGTCAACTCTATTTTGGGAGGCTTCACCGCATAGGTGGATGGCAGTGAACATTCCATGCGATCCTCTGAAGAAGGAAGACAAGCTTTGAATGCAACATTAGATGCTCGAATCCGGCTGCAATGAAACCAAATCTAAAGCACTGGTTAAAACAGACGGAATCAGTCCAGACAGCCTAGACTGGAAAAACCCGAAGAAGATGGCGGGGAGTGTATTGACGGGACAAAACAAGTCGAGCAAGAAAAAAATCCTTATCTTCTCTATTTGGTAAGGAGAATTCTGACAGACAAAAGGTCTAATAAATGTACACCGGGCTATCATCTCAGACATCCATGAGAGGAGAAGGAAGACAGAAAATAGACAAATGAACTGAGATAATCCTACGAGGGTAGGCCCACTGGACAAGTGCCTTTGCAAACTTCAATCATTTGCACACCTTCGACTCAATCTCTGCAACAGGTATCACTTTGCAGCTTAGCTCTGATCACTCAATCTGCAAAGTGTTCTTCCTGCAATCGCTTGTGCAATCGCGAATCTCGAACCAGAGGTCGATTGTTCTAAAGATCACCGTGGGTCATGCATTCTGTGAACTGTTTCTTCCAGCCGTCTGGCTCACAGCTCGGGACCAATTTAATGCTGGATCGTGGGTGAGGGCATCCGAAATCGAAACCAATGCATCTAGTTGGATTTCACGGGAATCGTGTCTCAGCCTTACGCAAGTATGTGCATGTGCATGCGAAACGAACGTTTGTGAACGGGAAATTCGAAGAAGAACTTGTGAACTTCGAATCAACCCTCATCACCACTCGACCTCCCGTGAAAAACAAAACACTCCCTTCTGTCAGAAGAAAGTGACAGACAGATATGAAAAAGAAAGAAGTTGACGTTGCACTAACGGTCAGGCTTTGTGGGCAGCAAGGAGCACATGTGACGAGCCCATAGCCGAAGGAGAAAGAGAAAGAGCGAGATTTGGATCAGGAGTAAAAGTTGTTCAGGGTGTAAAATTCTCTGGACGTGGCGACGCTCGAGCTAAGGATGGAAGGCAAGGAGCGCTAGCGCGAGATCTTACTTGCATCTAGAGGAGGGGAGTACAGGCTCGTTTCGCCCTTGATCCTCCACGTTCTGCTACAGGCCATGCACTGTATTGGCAAGGTAGGAAGAGCAAGAGGAGACAAGCGAGTCTGTCATGTACAAGCAGGGGATGGTTGGCCTATTTCTTGGAGCCAAAGCCCCACCCGACAAGGCCAGGCCACGTTGGGGGTACTGGGTGAATTGTCTTGAGCTTTGGTGTCTTGCGAGGCCGGATGCAGGAATTAACAGAGCCCGCTGACAAGGAAGGAAAACGAAGCCGGTGCCGGTCCTACAACAGAAACAACAGCACACAGGCATTCGGATAACAATCCTTGATTTATAAAGCTTGAAAACTTAAACCTTTCGGCCGAACAGTGCTTTTTGAACAGGAAAATTATACCAGAAAATTCACGTGCGCACCAATGAGGTGGCTCAAACAACGAACCGCTTGGACAGCTGGTGGGAGCAAAATTTCAGAGAGCGGCAGCAGCTGCTGCGCTTGGAGAAGTAGGGCGATGGTGGTTGCGGTGCTTTTGTCCAGGATTCTAGCTCACGCACTCCCTTGAGCTGCTACAGTCTCGAAACGTGTGAGTTGACTGATTTTTTTTTTCTCAGAGAGCACCACCGTCTTCATTGTCGCTGTCTCCCAGGAATCCCAGGAATGTTTAGACGGCACCCCTCTACTTGAACAGTGTCCCCAAGCTGCGACTGATTGCCTTCCCTCTCCCTCCCTTCGTGCCGGACAAAACCTTCACCTGGAGTACGACTTCCAACAAAAGGCAGTTGGTTAGCCGCCTTCCTAGGCCTGTTGACATTCCTTTTACTTTAGCAAATGCGAGCTACATTATGCCGTGCAAAGTCTGGCAGTCGTGGTAGTTTGAGGTGTACTGGACTCTACATCGAATGAGGGAATGAGTGAGGCTTGTGAGATGGCGCAGAAAATTGTCATCACATGGTAATCACTTTTGGTTGGCATTCCAGAGTTAAGAGGGAGAGACTGATTGATTAATCAAAAGAATGATCCAGATGTGTAGGAAGAAAACCGATCGTCTGGATAGGCATCAGTTTCTTCGAAGATGGCAGCTTTAACGATTAGGAGTTATCAGATCATAGTACGTTGGACCTGTTCACACTTCTCACGTGTGATTGTTCCTTTTGCCACTATATTTCAAAAGGAGCAGTGCGTCCCGCAAAGGCGCAGCAGAAACCCCATTATCTCTTGTAGACGGGGGGTGGGGATGCTGCGTCACACCAATGGCACTCTTGTGCTCCTTCAGGTGTTTGAGTGGAGATGAAAAGCTGGGTTTGGCAACCTGTCATTCTTGCTTTCTCTCCAAGCCCATTTGAGTGCAGTGCTGTGAACTGATCTGCAGTGGGACTTCATTTAGCTCACGGCTCAATAACTTAGCTGCCTGCGGGCTTTCAACGTTAACAATGGGTTTAATCGGAAAGAATCTTGCTTTGATGTTCTCTGGAAGCCCTTTGTTCTCCGCACCAGACTCGTCCAGACTCCAGAATTAGAAGCTACTTAGACCAGAAAAGCAATCGATTTTGTCAGCAGAGACTCAGCACAGGGAACTGGCGAATGTGTGAACTAGTCTGTAGGTCCAGTCCAGCATCTTCGAAAAGCTATGTCAATTTTTTCAGCAAAGAGATTTCGATTGAAGCACATGGAAATCATGGGAGGGCAGCTGAAGTGAAACTTGGCGTCATCACCTTCTCTCATGCCTTGATCCCATGCTGGACCCGTGTCTTAGAACCTGGCTCTGGGTTACTTATGCCATCGGAACTCTCCCTCCTCCTTGGACACATTTCGTCTGTGAGTGACTTGCAAGAGTTGATGCTTTTCAAGGAAGAAGCTACACGAGGAAAATAAAGTCATCAGGTGCTACTATTACTCCCGTCCAGGGAATTTGCTTGAAAAATTCTACTACCATGTCACCGTATCTGATCTACCAAGATCTTTTTTTGAACTCAAAACGATTCCGCAGAATCACTTCTTTACACTCGCTCGCCTCTGGACTTTTCACCTTGAGGGCTCGTCAATTGTCAACCTGCACTGCCCACCTTTTATTCCTAATATAATAATTAGCTGTACTTTACATGATGAAAGGTTGTACTGACGACAGTCCTGGAAAGAGTCCTTGACCTGCCAAATTTCAAGACAGACATACGTGGACAATTGATATTCATCCTGAATCTGGGAAAATTTCTCTAAAGCCGATAGATTTTGTGGTTACCAAAATTCAAAATTCATGTTTATGCTACCACCAAAACAAAGCCAGCCACTCGTTTAGCTTCTGCACAGATAGGAGCCAAGTTAAAGCCCGGCAGTAATGGCTACCTTTATATGAAGATCAGAATCTTGATGGAAGTTGGTTGACAAGGTGATCCAAGGGCCCGATATTTCAATTTAGCCCTATACAACTTGACATATACAAGATCTGTCAAGTTGTATCACAAAGTGATCTACCATCTTAAAATTACAGTTGGTTGTTTCCCTCCCATGTTGTTCCTTAATTGTAATTTTCCAGGTTACGTCAAGACTTTTCTTGGAACTCTGATTAATATAGCAAGAAGATGGTAAGAACATATCTAGTCTTACTGGGATAATACAATAGTGGGTAACATGCGGCTAGATCAAAAGGGGAAATATGTCCAATTGAAACTAATATACATGAACTACCGAGTTACAAAGTGATACAAATCTCAGAGCATGCCAATGAATACCGCCTAAAGATGATTGAATAATCGTTACATGTCGTTCCGTAACATGCGAGACTTTACTCACATGGTTACATATAATGCTAGATACACAAATAAGTGACTTTTATGAATATCCATGCACTATGTCTCCACTAGACAGCCATCAAAGAAATAGAAACTGGGATCTCCCGAAACCATATTATCTAACTAAAACTTAACTTATGTCCAGATCTGTAATTTGTGAAAAACTGATTCAATTAATTAATTGTGAAGTACTTTTCAAGTGAGGTCCATATGTGGAAGTCTATAGTCACTTTTTGATTCTATTTAGTGGTAGGCTCTCATATAAATCGCACCTAACGCGCTTATACATAAACGTATAAACACTTCAGAAATATTACATGTAAAATTACGTGGGCATGTGAAACTGATTGTTTTACTGTTTTCTAGAGTTTATGTTTATGAACGAAAAAGTGTTATGTAGAAACGTAATGAACATAATTTAGTTTTTCTACCCATATTTTCTTTTGATCTCTGAGTTTTAAACTATTTTTGTGTGAATCTTGTTTTTAAAAAGTTATAAGATGATGAAGAAGGTATTCACTATTCCATGGTAGGAACAATTTTTCTTAGTTACATCCGTAGGATATTAATCGTTTGAATTGTAACTTTGCCTGTATCTTACTTTACTGATTATTAGCGTAGATTCGAAATTATCGGCAGAGTTTTTTGGATTTTATAAGAGTTAACAGTGTTAATGTCAACGTTAAGTGCTATATATATATATATATATATATATATATGCACACACTGTAACTAACGCCTCTTCGTGGGACTCTGAATTTGCCGCAGTTATAAACTTTCTCCACCCGCCGCGAAATGTATCAGTTTCATGAGAAAATTGGCAAGAGAATGAGGATAGTTGAGATAAGCATCTCTTACGACTGATGCCATAAGATTTAGAGAGTCAACCAGCTATAACCTATCGAAAAGTTTCCGGAAGTTTGATAAGAATGAGACTTGTAGCTAACGCCTAAAGTAGTCAACTGTGCATAATGTTTTCGGATGAAAGAAGTGAAATACGCCGTCAGCGGTGCGATAGGGATCGAGCATTTGTCCTCGAAAGAGAAGGACTGCTTTGCTAACACTGTATTTAATCTCCTTTAATCGATAGAACCTTCGGACGACCTCGTGCAATTTGTGTCCTCATTTCACCACATGAGTTATCAGTTACTTGAGATAGACACCGCGGTGATGCATCGAGGTGAGGACAAGACACCGTCATGTTCAATTGTTTCTTAGCGTCAAATCGACTCAACATAGTATGAAACGAGCCCCACACATAACAATATTGGTTACATCACATCAAATTGGACATAAAAGTAGTCCATGTTATCGAGAATGTATACTTGGACAATAGATGATAAGTGCAAGCTATTTAATTCAAGCTTGACAGTAACTTTATTATTCACGGTAACCTGGATCTTATTCGTCGGTCTTCCTCATGTTCTATGCATCACAAATGGGAACCAGGTGAAAGGTCTAAAGAGACTTCAGTACACACTTGGCTTCAAACCCTCGGGTGATTACTGCGAGTTGAACTCAAGTAAGGAAAACTAAACTCGGTTCGCAACAGGAAAGAAATGTACAAAACGCACTGAAGAATTGTATATAGCAAGGGCTCTCCTATATACAATGATCTGCTATATAAAAACTCAGCTCATTTCCATATGCTCGTTGGTAACTGCTGAGATGTGCCTCAGGATAACAGGAATGACCACCTCTGGAGAGCTGAGTTGAGGAAGGTGACCTTCGGTGGGGAAAATTTCCATGTGCGTTTCACCACCCAGAGAGCGCTCCAAGTAGTGGGCGACAACTACAGGAACTGCGAGATCTTTCGTGCTCTGCAGGATATGGCAAGGAACAGTGACTAGTGGAAGGATCTTACGCACATCGCTTTGAAAGATTGTCTTGACCACGCTCAGTGCAATGTCAGGTCTGATGTTGAAGAGAGTTCTCGCGAATTCCTGCACGACTGGTGCTTCTATGTCCGCTCCGACCGCAAGAGGAGCAAAGCCCGTCACCCACGCTTTGAAGTTGGATTGCATTGCCTCAAACAACTGATTCAGATCTTCTTGTTCAAACCCTCCAAAGTAGAATGGTTCGTTCAAGTAGCTGCATCCATAAGCGCTACATCATTAGACAAAAGAGCATTTATTGTGCTAAACAATACTTTCATCAACAACGTATGATTCTCTCCTGAGATGATGGCGGTTTTGACTAGTCTGAGCAACATCAATCATATTTCAGCAACAGACTTCGCGTACGATAAAATCATACTTTCATACTACTTTCATACGCAGGCTGGAGTGCTTGAGGGGATGAAAACTATCATGTAAGCGGCACAAAATATTGGGTCAATTAAAGGACTCTTACCGTGGAGACGCGGACACCAAGACTATCTTTGAGAAGGCGTCCGGTCTTTCCAGAGATGCCAGGCATCCAACCATAGCTGAGACGGAGTGCCCAACGAAGATACATCTTTCGATCTCGAGTTCCTCCAGAATTGCAAGCAAATCATCCGCATACCCATTGAGTGTGGAATATCTCTGGAGGTTAAAACTCTCCGGGTTCGTAGTTCCACTTCCCATCAGATCAAATAGAACAACTTGATAGTTCTTGACCAGATGGGGTACGAGATGCTTCCAACATGACTGATCCGTTCCAAAACCGTGTCCAAGGACCACGATCTCGTCCCCTGATCCTACTACACGTACATTATGAGCTTCGAGGCTAGACATTGTAGCTCTGGATGCAGTCAGGTTCCAGCAGTTTTCGGCCAAGAACTTTCAGCAGTCAGAAGATTGTTGTCAGCTGGAGATAGCCATCTTTGTGTCTGAACAAGAACATCATTACGATTCGTTAATATTAAAGCCCAACAAATATAATATTTTAAAAAAAGCTTCGGTCCATGCAATTGCATTAAGTGCTCGAGACATTGATCGAGAAATCTGCTGACCGCATTGACCAACATGAAATACTAGACTAAACCGACTTGCCATCAAGCCATCTGTAAACGACAAGTTCGATCTTTTCTGGTTCTCGACGTCTTCTTCGGATCGAGCTGTTTTCAGACGGGACGGACACACACGACGGTTATATTGTGACATATCTGAGAGACAACTTTGTCGTCCTGGACCTATCGATTTCATCTCAGCTGATATCGAATCCGATATAAGGACGATACTGTAGATTCGCAGTCATGACCACCGTCAGTTATGACGTGAGCGCATGGCTGTCGTCAACTACGGAGCTGGACACAAAATCTTTGTTCATGCCTTCCTATAGTTCGCATCAATCGGAAGGATACGATTTCCCACGAATGTGAATATTCTATATCGTGTCATGCATCAACTTTAGACTACTGGTTCGGTGAACTTCTTCACGACGATCTAAATACAAACTGCATCTTCACTAGAAGCGAGAGACCTCCACTATGTGATAGTTAATTAAACCCAACACAAACCTAACCCGCTAAAACTGAGCTCTAATGGCAACCAGCGCGTAATAAGTAGCAAAAGTGTGCTCGACCGTCAAACAAACTGTGTGCAATAACTGTACACAGCCAGGACAGCAGCCACAGGGTCAGTGTGCATATTGACAGTTGACTCCGTATAAGAACGCCGTATTTGTAGCTTCAGTGCAATCTATGAGGTGTGGATAGCCTTCCAATCCTTGAATCGACCTCTCAGATTAGCTCGAAACATCTGACAATTGTACCTACTGCCTCGACAATACACTCGGTGTCAGCAGATACGTTCACAGGTAGTCACAGGGCCGAGATCCGATTCAGATGTTTACGTGTGAACAAGTCATGACATTCTTGCGATCTTAAGACTCGGTCTGTCCTTCGAGCCAGTAGCTCCTGACCGCAGTCTGGACTCTACCTCGTCCGTGTTAAAAGACCTTGCTTTCACACAGAGCACGAAGAACGAAAGGCCCCAGTTTTCATGGTGAAGATGAACACATCCACACATCAGGAGACCGTGAATGAAAGAGCAAGTAAGTACCTGCGTCGATTCAAAAAGAAGGAATTTTGCACATTGATCGAGCCGAATCGCGAAACACTTCACTCCACTCCACTTCACGGCAGTGTCTAGCTCGAGTACTCACTCACTCACTGACCAATCAAGGTCAGATCAGGCAACCGGAACACTCTCTCAGTCTCTCACTCCCCAGCAACTCTCAAACTCGCCTGCACTCCAGTGACGGTAAACTGTCATCTGAGAGTAAATGTATACTTCTCAGTCTGACTTTCTCCGCCGCGGGCAAGAGAGAAAGAGAGAGAGCGCTCTAACTCAGCTCAGCTGTGATGCGCCTCCCAGATTTCGATCACGACCTGCGAGATTGGAAACTCGGGGCCGAGGTCATACATCCGCAACCAGGACGATAACGGATGGAGGGAGGCGACTTTGTTCGTGAGTGATATGACGGTTCCTCCGGATATATAAAGAGCCACAGAATTTGGCACCCGATATCGACCAGAGCGCGCTCACGCCGCAATACAGATGTCACCGCATGTTGTGGGAAGGCTGGGTCTCACACCATTCGCAGAGCTGAAAGCATGCAGCCCCAATATTGGGTGCCACAATCGGGGTCGCGGATAGAATCTGAAAATAGAGGGATGCGAGGAAGAGTGCGGGCTTCGCCTTTTCGAGTCATGATGTAATGCTAATCTGTGACCTTTTTGTCAAGTGCCATGTGGCAGGACACTCGACAGGACAAACGCCTACTTTATGCTGATCTTTCGGCCGAGAAGGCCTCGCGCGCTTATCGGCAGTAGTCAAGACCAGGTACTGCTTGTCTCTCTCTTTCATGCCCTCCCACTTCCCCCCAATTTTCTCCCCCAGCTGCAAGGGCCCTTCTTCTTGCCGCCACCGCTCAGAAGTCCTTCCGGAATATTCCACGTTCCATTGGATGCAGGCAGGCAGGGCACTTGCAGCATGGAGCTTCGAATATTGTGATTCACATATCATTTCATTGCATTCGATTCGATTGTCGTCAGTATCGAATCAAATGCAATGAGTTGTGACGAAGAGTAGTTACAGTAAGTTTTCTTCTGCTTGTTACATTTTATGCCAAACGAAGAATAGAAGGTAAGGAAATTATGGGTTTTCAGAATTTATCTAATTCTTGACTTTGTATAATTAATTTTGTTTAGGAGTAGGGAAAATTAAGGAGAAAAACTGAAGAGATTCTCACATGCGCACATGGGTAGATGTGATACATACCATATGGGAGGGCATTCTCCGCCATTTGCAAACGTATGTCATTCTTGGCTACATCTTGCATAACATAAATAGACACTTGATCCCAATAACCAAAAGGATTACTTTTGGACATATCACATTATATGCGAGTCGACAAAAACTGATTTCTAAATCAGGTTTATTTCAGATCCTCATGAACTAGCATTCGGTGAGCTATTCAGACTATGAAAAATAGATTAGAATTACATCTTAAACATCGAACAACGAATGAGAGAAAAGGTTGCTAAAGAACATCATAATGGATCTTCTCTTACCTGAAAACGAGACAGTAAATTTCTGTATGCGTCAAACTCCATCCACAGTTAGCAGGTTGAAGTGGATATAAGATCATAAGTCTCCTATGCTTCTCATGCAGACTTTATCATGCACCATCATGCACATAGCGACATATTTATCGGTATGCGTGCGAAAGGATGGGATAGAAGAGTGTATGAGTTGAAAGCCGAAGGTGAAAGTATGGATAATGGAGTTAGGAATATACATATGGTGTCACATTTCTCACAGAAAGTGGAACTATCATAATTATGGATATTACAAGCAAAGGCGACAATATCTCGAGTTTGGAAAGACTCCAACCTGCTGAGTTTCAGAGCATGGATGGAATTTACCCCCTTGGACGAGGACAACTGTGCCAGTGACATTTGCGTCCAAAAATTAACATGAATTTTTTCCGCCGCTTCAGTGTCCATCTCATAGCCAGCTTGACCTGTCCGCTTTCAAAGTAATCCGAAGAAAGCCTAGGGATAGAACACCCGTGAAAAGGTAAACCTTGAGCTTTTGGAAATCTCAGGGAAACAATTTTTGTATCCCTGCCATTACGATTCAACCCGTACCCAAAGTGAAGGAGAATATGAGGCCCAACCGAAATTTCTTGTACCCAATCATAGTATAGTGCATGTTAGAATGCAAGTAGCAATATGATATATAACCTAGAGTGAACACGTCAAATCAGTCATTACCATGAAATATTAAAGCCCAAGTAACCCCCTCAATGTTCTGAATGTAAAAGTGAGGAAATATGAACGTGCAAAAAATCTCTCTATCGATAGTACTTACCTCGCACTATGAACATGTTGTCTTCCTCGTAGGCACAAACCCAAGAAGGAGCGAAGAACCAGATTTCGAGGGAGGATTCTGGTCGAATTTGATCTGAAATTGGTCCTTGGGGTCCCGCTCGCTCTGCGTAAAACCAGGCTTTTGCCATCTGGCTGCATGTGCACTCTGCCACCATGGTGAAGGTAGAGGTAACAGTTGGCGATTATTTCTAGCAACGTAAGTTTTGTAGGTCAAAGCCTCGAAGCCCTTGAAGCCTCGAAGGAGAGACCATTGGCGATATCGTACCATTTCCGGGAAAAGGAAGGAGATGCTGCTAGGCTGGCGTAGAGAGCTAAAAGAGGACCCTGAAAAGGCGGAAGCGGCTGGAGCTGAGCTTCGAGCAAAGCTTCGTACCGCCGTAAAGCCAAATGCGGCACAAGAAGAGGAATGAGGGAGGGCTGCGAGCTAGGGCTGCCGTATAGGAGGGCTCGGCCTGCCGACCAGAGGAATTTTCTTGCTTTCTTGGCAATGCAGAAAGAGGCTAGAGCACCTAACGAACCAACTTTTCTTTTCGGGAACAGTTTTCTAACTATGGCGAAACTCGAACGGATCTTGGTGGACTTTCCACCATCAGAGCTTATGAGCCTCGACCCTCGCGGGTCTCACCTCAACCTCAAATTTATTCAAAATCCTTCATATATATTATATTATTCTATTCTATTCTTCTTAAGCTGTTGTTGTGCACTATTGCAATTCCTCACCATCTTACCGTCTCGTTTCTATCTACTTCCGGCGTCTTTCCCATTAGGAGGATTTTGTTTCGCATCGATAATATCCATTGCATCTCAACTTCTGATATCGATGTGATTCGAGGTTTCTTCAGTACCCTCGAGTAGAAGAGATCTGAAATTGGATAACTATTTTATCTTCTCGGTTTTCAAGCTAATCGCTTGTCTTTTATGGTCTTTCCTAGCTTTTAAACCGGAAGTCTTCAGAGATGATGAAATCATAAGATGATACCGCATGCTAGAGTGGCCGAAAAAGAAAAAAGAATATAAAGTAAATAGAAAGCCATGAGCTTATTGAAAACTTAGTCATCTTCCAAAGTAGAGAGTTTAGATTCTGGTGATGACTTATGTTCTCTCTCATTATTAGAAATTATGGACCATTTTTACAAAAGAGTAATGGGAACTATGCAACTCATACACTCTATCTTTAAATTACAGCGAAAAAAGAGGAGTATACTCCGAAACCCATTTAACCATAAGACCCGAACATACCTCACCATTGCTTGTGCCGAGGCGTTGTTTTGCATCGCATGTATTTATATTACAACTGCAACACAGTACTTTATATATGAAGCTGAACGAGAAAGAAATCTTTCTCGCTTTCGATAATAAATGATGGCAATGATATAAAGCCTTGAAGTTGTCGGTGAAGTTTTCGAATGTAACAACTAAAGCCCACGGGAAGCTTCTTCACATAATGAAGGATGTTCTATCGTTGCCTTTTCGGTATGAGCAAATCCTTCAACTTCAACCAAGAAGTACCAAACAGATCACAAGGCCATCAAGCAACATACGACCAACTTCTTATATGATGGCAGTGATGGCAAATGGTGCCTGCATTGATGAAGAAAAGTAGAAACAAGTTACTTTGTAAATTAGGGAGAAGCTCGAGGTCAACATGCGTATGCATAGGACTTGGTCTGTCAATCTCTTCTGCCTCGTATCGTGTAAAAGTACTGTGACATAAGCGAAGTAAAGAAAGTATTATGACTTTCAGATACGTCGGCTAACATAAAAGAAAGTACATATTACACACAGCAGGAGTCTAGACGTTATATGGAGCACGGATGTAGGTCAATGATGCTGGCAGTGTGGTCACTCCGGATGAATGGTTTGCATTGCATTGTGTATCTGAGAAAGAACCAGTCGATAGATATTTCTTGATTGAGTCATATCCCCCATGTGGACAGATTCCAACTTTTCAAAATCATTTCACCAGATCGAAAGGTGCAGGCTTGAAAGTTTTATGTGAAGCACTTTTTGTCCTTGAAACATCTTTCTGAGAGATAAGATTGGAAAGTACGACGTGCAGGTATTGAAGTGCGAAGAACTGGAAGCGAACTCATGTACGTACAAGGCGAAAGAATCACGAAACACTGCTCAGCTTCATGATACAAACTGACCGTAGAACGCTAACCTTCCCCAAAATGCATTCCTTTTCCTGTCTTGAAGAAGTTGTTGCATTGTCACCTCACACATTGCTCTCGAGGACGAATGATGGAAGCTCGCAGTGAACAAGATATTTGTTGCACCGTTGTCGGTGATCGTCAGATGGTCGTGCTTCTTTCCAACCACGTTCGCTGCAACAGGATGACGAAAAGGTCAATCCGTGTATCATATTAGGCCCATGTATATCGTTATAAGGATCTAGAGTGTCATGATCACTCCTTACAAAGTAGAAACGAGCGAGTGTGCTTGTGTGGCGGCTTTCTGTAGATTTCACACACCTACTTATGTTCATCATGACGATCTCCGACGTCGAGAAGAATGTGTTGTTCGTCTATTGTAGCACATACAGAGTGTCGTGAATGTGGAAATGTGGGATAGCAGCTTATTATGCAAAAAAGTACCCGTCACATGGATACGCGTCTTTCTCTTTCTTTCTTTCTTTCTCTCTCTCGCTCTCGCGCGCGTGTCCAGTTTTCCTGTGATAGTTTAGACTCGTTCAAACCTTTTCAGGTGTACTTTCTATCGGCAATGAGCTCGACAAGGTTTTGTTACCAGAATGGTGATTACCACGCAGGAATTCAACGAGGACATGAACGTCAAGAACCCGTTTCACAGAAAATACAATCCCAATACGATCGTAGCAGTTAGAACAAAAGTGTAGTTAGGCTGGGGCTGAAATCTGACAGTTTCTCGGTAAGGTCGTTTTGGGCCGTGGGAGATGTCGAAGAGAAAACTCGAGTTCCATTAACTCTCTCTGTCATCCTACTCTCGAACCAAGCTTGTCAAAGATTGCTTGGTTCAGAGACGGACCAATCCGATACTGTAAACAAATTTGGGAAATCTGGCTTCCCGCAAAGGCGAGATTGTCACGGAGGTAGATCGAATTTC